ATTTAATTTTGGCTTGGGAGAATAACTTCATGGTGTGACAGCAGGCAAGGGCAGGCGATGTTAGAGACGCGAGAATGTGGGCGAGCGGTCGTGCAGTGCCGGAGAAGGTGTCTGCACGCTCACTATCTCCAGCACCACATGCCCGCCCGCTGCTCGCTGCCTCCAGTGTCGCCCACTCACAGCACACCACCTCTAGCATCGGCTGCCCACTCGTTGTTTGCCATCACCCGTCTGCTTGCTACTCGCTGCCTCTAGCGTATCCCGACGCAAGGGAGCTAGCCCAGGAGCATGGCCACGGTCCAGCTCGGCCCTCCCCACACTCCGCTCTCCCTCGCTCTCTCCACCACAAGTAGGATGAAAACGGATCGGAAATAGACGGAAACCAGCTTTATCATATTCGTTTTCATATTTTTTTTTAAATTGGAATCGAAAACTTGGATATGGAAATGAAAACGAATATTATCAAATAAAGATACGGAGCGAATACAAGACAGAACGAATACGGTAGCGAATATTTACCGGTATATAAAAAAAACCCTCAAATTAAGTTTCTTGATCAAGGAAGAGATATTGCTTATTATTTTAGTTCAACATCTCCAACATTTATATCGTCAATTTTGTAGACGGTCCCACAACCGTATGTGAAAATTGATTTTTATGGTTGTTCCTCTAAGAGATCCATATACAAATATGATTATCATTTTCTATTCCCAAAACCTTTTACTACTTACTTACCATTGTATAAATTGGAGATGTTATTTATTTTATTTCACATCTTCGAAACTTGCAATGTTTGTTTTATACTTTAAATTTTTTTTAAATACAAATGTTATAAACTATAAAGTGGTAGATCCCGTTGAGCTCTACAACTTTGATATGGAACACATCTCTATCAGATGTCGTTTGAATTGTAGATCTGAGATTTTGTAAAAAATAATACGGTATATTATAATGAATATTTAGATCTTTAAATGATCTCAAATAATAAAAATAGTCAGTAAGAAAGTTATAGATCTCATCGAGCTCTACAATATTGATATAAAGTTTGTCTTCATCTGATTCTGTATAAAAAAGTTATGTATATATACGTGTTTTTTCTAAAATTTGCTCAATGTCTATGGATATCCGAAAAAAAAATCCGGATAGTTTTCGACCGTTTTCCGATTCCAACGGATAGTACCCTTACTATATTCGTTTTCTTTTCCGAGAAAAATTATCCGAATTTATTTCCGAATCTGAGAATTTCCGGATAGTTCGAAACTATCTGAATCCGAAAAATAGTCCGAACGGACGGAAACTATCCGAATCAATTTCAACCCTAACAACAAGGGGTATTTTGCTGATAAAATGGCTAAAACTCTCCGAAATGGCACTATAATCTACATCTAGAAGGCATCGTACTTAGTATTATTTATCTGGTGCATCCTAGTGAGTGGCATTCACCACTAAAAATGGATTTTTTTTTCTGGATAGCCAAAAGAGATTTTCGCACGCAGGCCTTAGGCCCGTCCGCACCAAGGTGTCTGCGAAAATCGTCATTTTTTCTATGCGGGTAACGCAACTGCATGCGAAAACCGAATTTTCGCATGCGGTCACCGAAGCCAATCGCATGCGAAAATGATTTCGGCGAAAAGAATAAAAATAAAAAAAAGAAAAATATCCTGAAACCCTAGCCGTCGGACCAGCCCCTACCGCCGGTCCGAGGGCAGGGGCGGTGGATCCGCCCACCAGCCACTCGCTTCCACCACCATCACCGCCAGTCATCGTCATCGCGGAGGTCATTGTCATCGTGGGGGAGGGCGGCCACCGCCGGATCCGTGTGGGGGGAGGGTGTTTAAGAAACATGGAATGGATTCGGGATGAACCTAAGCTAATTGCCTTGATTACTTACCAAATCAAATTCACATTCTTAAATCACTTTACATCTGCATGATTTGGTTTCCATCTCGTGAGATCAGTTTGTTAAGTGAAATATATATATATATATATATATATATATATATATATATATATATACACCCCAGACTATCTATTGGGGTGTGTTTGACCCGAATTTGTCATTTCTTTGCAGCTAATCATTGTCTGTCGGTCTGCTGTAATAGATCATTGCTTAGTGATTTTTAAAAACAAGGCATATAGAATTTTTTTATACCAAATTTTACATTCCTAATAAAACATAAAAAATTAATTATAATAGTATATATATATTTTTTTCTAATAAATTTTATTTAAGCATGGCTGTGTGAATATGCATGGGTTAACACAACCGTCACGCGCCTCCTCCACCAGCCTCGGCAAGGGGGAGGGCCACTGTTGTCGTCGCGTGTCTCCTCCTCTGGTCTCCGCGAGGGGGAAGGCCGCTTTCGCCGCCATTGACGCGCACCTCCTCCGCTAGTCTCCGTGTGGGGGAAGGCTGCCGCCGCCGTTGACACGCACCTCCTCCGCTAGTCTCCATGCAGGTGAGGGCCATCTTTGCCCCGCCGTAGTCCGCGTTGCTCCTGCCACAGTGGGGAGAGGAGAAGACAGGATAAGGGAGGAGTGGGGAGAGAATGAGCGGAAGGTGGTGGTAGGGGTTGGTGGCAGGGGGTATTTTGCATACGGACCACTTAAGAGGCTTGCATGCATCGCATGTGGGCAAGTTAAGATGCCAGCCTATGATAATTGATTTTTACATACGAGTCTCTTAACGAGTTGTATGAAAAAAGCATATCAATTTTTGCAGAGGTGACCAATTATGGTCCGCCTATAAACTATATGGGTCATCATACAGAAAAAATCATTTATGCAGTAGTGATTTCATTGAAACGACAAGAATGGAGTGGCATAATATCCAAAAAAAATCATTTTTAAGTAGTGATTTCATCGAAACCACACGGATGAAGTGGCATGATATCCATTTTGTCGGCTTCCAGCAACAAAGAAAGAAATAGAAAAAAACAGAGAATTTGAGAGCACTGTTTCCACCATCGAGTCCAGAATGAGAGTAGTGGCTTCACCTCTTATAAACTAGCACACATGAGAGGCAGTGGTGTAGTATAGTCAGGAAATTGTCGTTGGGAAGTCTTATTTTAGAAGTTCAAATCATATAAAAAATTTCAAACCCCACAAATCCCATATGCTAATACAAATCTATTATATTATTGAGACAGCTTCGAAAGGAAGCACCACGTTTGCTGTGGATGCTAAAAATTCCCACATTATAATCGGAGAGAAAAAAAGAGAGTCCAAGTAGAAATACAATTTTAAAATAACTAAAATTCAGAATTAAAAATAGCAATATTAGAAAAATAGTACACATAAGAACCAAATACGAGATTAATTAAAATTCAAAATAAAAAGTATAATAAATTCCGAAATTGTAAGAAAAATAAAAAAGACAGTTCAAAGAGGAATACAATTTTGAAACAACTAAAATTGAAAATAGAAAAGGAATATTGAAATAATAGCCCATATGAAACATAATACGAGATTAATTAAAATTTAACATAAAAAATAAAATAAATTCAGGAATTAGAAAAAAATTAAGAGTTCAACTACTAATACACTTTATAAATAACTAAAATTTGTAATAAAAATAAAGACTCTTGATAGAAGGGTTCATTTAGAACACATGACGAGATTAATTAAAATTCGAAATAACAAATAAAATAAATTCTGAAAATAGAAAAATAAAAATAAAAGTCCAAGTAGGAATACAATTTATAAAAAAAAATATCAGAGCGAAAAATATGGAATTTCAAAAAAAAAAGTGCATCTAGAACACAACCATGACAAATGAGGGGAGAAGCAATAGGGCTATAAAGGAGTAGAGTGGTGGCGGTTGATGTGACATCTAAAAACTATAAGCAAAACCTCAAATAGAATCTCAATGAGGAGGGACGATGGGCAGGCCATTAAGCAGCACAGTCATGACGGTTGGCAGGACTTATAGAAAGTAAAAATTAAACCCCAATAATAATTGTCAGGGTCATAGATACCACATACCCAATATTAATCGACTAAGCTCGGCGGGGCCCACCACACACCATGCCTTGTATGGAAACAAACCTTGTATATAGAAGGAGTTCCGGATAAGGAATGACCAGAAGAGTTCTGCATGGAAACGACAAGGATTAGTCCGATCGTATCCATATTTATCTCCCTAGTTCTACTTAGACAAGGGGACACACTTATGGGTATAAATACAAGCCCCCCTAGGAGGAGAGAGGACACACCTACCACAATCTACAAAGCCACAAGACCAACAAGACATAACATATGCACACGCCGCTAGATCTCGACATCAAAGATTAGCCTAGACGTACCCCATCCGGTACCTGCAGGGGTCAGCAAGAGGGATACGCCATCTATGATCTCGACGAATTCGTACTTGAGGAGGAAGACTACCCTGTCATCGACTACGAGTCGGTTATCTAGCCGCTAAGTCGATGACAACTAGATAGGTTATCCCAAATATTGTATTTGTGTGATCCAGATGAATAAAGAGCAACACCGGTTTTGGCCAACAGGATGTAGGGCTATTACCTATCAAATAAGGGGTCCGAACCTGTATAAAAATTCTTGTCTCCATTTCTTTTACCTCAATCTCGCATATACCCTGATACCGACGGTCCCCATACCATCCAAATACCATAGTCGCGATATCAAACGTCGACAATAATCATGTTCAATTTTTAAAATTTCAATAAGCCGAGCCGTAGAGGAGTATAGTGGCGTAGCCACTAATAGTTGACGGAACTTCTAGAAAATAAAAAATGAACCTAAATAATAATTATATTTGATTTTTAAAACCCTAATTACAATAAAAAGAGGAGGCAGCAAGCGGGCTGCAGAGGAGTATAGTGGCAGCGGTTAACGGAACTTTTAAAAATTATAAAAATGAAAATTAAAGAGACAATGATCTCGTTAAACTTTTAAAGATTATAAAAATGAAAATCAAAGAGACAATGAACTCTTATAGTACGGTTCAAGTTTTAAAAGTTTTAAGGAGGATGAATAGAACCAAATAATGGGGTGACAAAGTAACAAGGGTACACTTGAATCAACCAGGTTTGGGGCAGCCGAGTAGCCGGGTAGGGGCAGGGCGGAAATCAACCAGGCACGGCGCCGCGGGAGGACACGGTCGCCGGTCGGGGCCTCGGCGCCTGCCTCGCGGTGGTCTACGCCTCCATCCTCCGCGGATTGACCCGGGCAGACAACGACGACGGCTCGGCGTCCGATGGCCGACGGGGAGAGGCGGAGGCTGCGAGGCGAGGAACGGACGAACGGCGGCGGCACGGTCACGTTTCCTTCCTGCATTCAGAGGATGCATGCATCCTCTTGGCACCTAATCCTCTTGGCTCTGATGCCTCTGAACCGATTTCAGTCCCGATCCCATCCAGCCGGTGCAAATCGATTCCGACCATTCCAGGTATCCGTCCTTCAAATTTCGTCAACATCGATTGAACGAATCCGTGAGAGCGGCCCTTTTTTGTGTATCGGGTTTGGTTTACAGTTTTTTCTTCCGAGCAGGAGGGGACAGACGAATTGATTTGCTTTTGCACAACCAGAGGATATGCCACATCTGAAGACATCGCTTGCTAATTGGTGGAAAGGATAGAGAATGCCTTTCAAGGACTGAGAACACCCCAAACTCCCCAAGTAAGTTCCTTGTCATTTTTGTGATTAAATTCATGTCGCATTTGTGAAATAAAGGGAAACATAAACTTCAGCAGACACCAAGTTCTGCAATGTTTTGAGAGCTTTATAAGACTTCCGTTGAATATTTAAACAACATTACCTGAGGAGATATGGTTTGGCCACTATAATAGAATACGTTTAATAATGGTAAATGATAAAAATGTTGTGGGCATATACAACGACAAATTATTATACCAACAGAAAGTATTGTGCAGTTGCAATATAGAACCACCAGTGAATTGGAAAGAATAATGTTAAGAATCAATAAGGAAAACAGGAAAGCTCTTGTAACAGATTGTTATCACCGGATAAAATACGAAGTGCTTGGGTTTATGGGCATTTGTTCGTCCTTCCTTGTGTACTCAGTGCTTTGCTCAATTTCAAAGTTACTGGTTGATGGTCCACTGAGATAGCCCTCTGTCTCACTATCACGCTGTATCCAAGGATGTTTCGAAAGTTTTCTTAGTCTGCTAATCTCCTCAGCTACGTCTTTCATTGATGGCCTATTCTCACTGCACATGTCCAAGCATTGCTTCGCTAGCTCAGCAAGTCCACTGAGCAGTTCCATGCTCTCATGACCTTTAATTTGGCTATCTAGCATGGCCTCAAGATTATTCTCCTTCATTGCCAATAGGAAGCTTGATGACAAGCTTTTCTGTAGCTCAGAACCTTCAAGTTTCAATGGCATCTGCCCAGTAAGGATCTCCAAGATGACCACACCAAAGCTATACACATCACTCTTCTCTGTCAACTGGCATGTTTGTAGATATTCAGGATCCAGATATCCACATGTTCCTTGAACCATTGTCACGAACTGCGCTTCATCATTTGGTGCTAATATGGAGGCGCCAAAATCTGATACCTTTGCCATGTAATTCTCATCAAGAAGGATATTGGATGTTTTCACGTCACCATGCAAAATTGGTGGATTTGCGTAGGAATGTAAAAATGCAAGCCCTTCAGCTGCCTCATTAACAATTCTTAGGAGAGAACTGAAAGGGATATGAAGAGTACGGTTCTTGCCATGAATAAGATCAAATAATGTTCCATTTGGAATGAACTCATACACTAGCATCGGGACATCCACCTCAAGACAGCAACCCAGTAGCTTAACAATGTTCTTGTGGTTAATCTGTGAAAGTATTAACATTTCTTTACCGAATTCCTTCTTATGTCTATCATCAATTAGTGCACATTTTTTAATTGCCACTGTAATGTTATCCTTAGTTATTCCCTTGTACACTGTGCCATGTCCTCCATGTCCAAGAATCTGGCTTTTCTCAAACTTGTTTGTTGCTTGCTCTAGTTCTGCTTGAGTGAACACCTTAAATGCAAGTCCCTGGTCTGATTTCATCTTCTCAAATAATAGCAGCCCTCCATGTTCCTGGATGTATTTTTTCTTGACATCTGTAAGCTTTCTTCTCTCAAAAATTATACGCACGAAGAAAATGATAATCACTAGAACAATGGAGCCAATGCTGACACCTGCTTCAAAGAGTATAAAAAGGCTTGTTACATTATCATCATGTATTTGCATGTAATACAATAAAAGCATGTCAAACTGACTCACTGTGGTGGACTGAAAGGTGATGTTAGTATACTACAACATAATGATTCTACCTATAATCACTTATGTCTTCTTTGGATTTAATTTAATTTCTTTTGTCGATTATATTGGTTTGATAGTTTCTCATATTTTTCTAAATTATTCCTAAAAAGGAGAGGACACGAATATAAACAAAAGCTAAGACGATCATAAAAATTGAGGGATATTTTATGACTAAGGATCAAGTAGAGGAAGACGTCATTCTTTCGATGTAGATGATCCTTACACCAGTCACATGCCCATGCTGCTATATGCTTTCCAGCTCTATTCATTCACCGATTTATTTGTCAATTCTATGATACTGTGCAAATGGAAAATATGTACATGTTAAATAAGGGGCCCTTTACATAATGCTGAAATTCTGACAGCTAAACTTATGCATTATAGCTTCCTGTAATAGAATAGAGTTGGGTGTAGGGTTGCAGCTTATCTAGTTTTAAGAAGGGTAAATCAGGCTCCTAACTTTTAGGTCTTTACCTATGATCAGGCTGATGTCTGGGTTGCAAGTGTTTGTTTCCTTTGCCAACTTTCTTCCCACAGGGCAAGAACAATGGTACCATCCTTCTGTATTGCGACAAGTTGCACCTTTTGGGCATGGGCTTTGATTTTGCTCACATTCATTGACATCTACATTACAAAAAATGAACAGATCATTTGGGCCCATGCAAATAAGACTGCAAATTAGTCTATCAAACGAATATGGATATTACAACTATGAGATGACCTGAGCTGCAATGTTGTTGAAAGATATGAAACAACCCTTCAAAAACTAGTAGAAAAATATATATGTGCCTACCAACATTTTGAGTTAAAAATAGAAAAAGAAATAAAGTGCTGAATATATGAGCGTTATAGAGCAAAAAAAAAACAAACAAGGATAGACTGTAAATTGTTGTTTCTTTTTTTTTTTCATATTTTTTGTCACTCATGATTTTGATGAACTAAAGAGACATTCTAGGAAATAGGAAAACAGACCTATGCATCCATCAGTGATGTATGGATTTCCATGATACCCAAGAGTGCAGTTACATAGATACCCAGGTCCATTGATCGAATCTACACACTCGCTATGTTTGCTACGGCATGCGTAAGAAGTCATGTTTGCCTCCTTGCATCCAACCTTCCCAATTGCCCAGTCTAGTACCACCGGCTGCTGTCCATTGTATGTCTCATTGAACTTCATAGTAGTTACGTACTCAGTTTTGAACCTAAACGTGTCTGTTTCCACCAGTGCTGCGTAGCTACATGGGTTAGACTGCAAATTCGACGAATCATTGTACACAGTGAAGAACGTGACGTTATAACTATTTAATCCCTTGGCTATGTTATTTTGGCAGCAGCCAACACCATCGCATGAGTCATTTGTAGGGGCTTTTGCGCAGACTGATGCACATGCTGTCGTATACTCTCCATTGTAGATGTATGAAAGAGTGTTGCAACCAATGACTACAAACTTATTGTGCAGATTAGAGAACCGGTATGGCCATGTTGAAAAGTCAAGTGACCATCGGCTAGATTCCATTGACTTTGTTACATCATTGTAGCAATATGTCGACAGGGCATTTAGTGCCCTAGTTTGACCATGGAGCAACGAAATATTTAGGACCTCAACATTAATAAGGAATGGTTTCATAGATCCATCAGCAGTCTTGTTGCAATAGATTACGAAGCCCGGTTCGATAGCACACTCTGTGCCAATGCCAAATGGGTATGGGATTTCCATATCACCGCAATGGGACTGGCATCCAGGAGCCGGCTGAGCTGATATAGATGATAGTTGTGCCATGATTGCAATACTGAGCAGTATCGCTGATGCCATATCAACTCTCTGAAAATGATGTTTGTAGAGAAATTTATTTATAAGTGGCGCTTAAAGGCAAGAAAATGAAACAGAGCAAACAAACTTAATGGCTTGTTAGTTCCAAAACTTCCAAAGCAGCATGTTGCCTATTAACCTTACAACTCACCAGTTCTTTTTACTTGGCATTAATGCCATTGATGCAATCTTCAATGCTCATGTTTGATCATTGATTTTTTTTCTCATTAAAATCATTAAGAATATAGCTACGCAAAAGTATTTTCATGATGAATCATAACATTTTTGCACATACTAGTGAGATAACTTTTAATATTTGACTGCAAGAATGTTATAAGGGAAAGCCATCTCTACCGAGAGCATTAGGTTCAGAATCTAGAGTAACGTGGCTTCAATGGTGATGAAGAGCTGCAACAACATGACCAGAAATTTTTCATGGTGTTTTCTCTAAAGCTAAACGAGTAAACTTTCAGTGGTATCAAACTATCTTTTACCAACTGTGGCATTTATTCCGAAAACCATGTGTTATGTACAACCATAGTTAGTTCATTTTGCATATAAGGCCAAACAACAATAGATATTCATATCTTGGTTGTCTGTCAGAAAAAGAAAATACAATAGTGAACAAATGTTTGCTTACTTTCATATTGTCTGTACTGAATCGTAGTTGTATGTCTTTTTTTTGGCAATTAATTACGGTCAAGGGCCGCAAAATGGCTCTTACTGCAAATATCAATTCAAATTTAAATAATAACTGTTGTACAGGATTAATTATGGTGCACTAAGTTATTATTAAACAAAATTAACTGACAGTGAAACATTTATCCAATTTAATTGCTCTATTTTTTTTCTGATCCTTATCAAGTACTAGCATTGACAGTGAGTTGAATTAAGCAATCCTCTGTCTCTGCCTCAACTGCTATGGGATTAGGACAGTACTTGCCAAGTTTTGGCCATATACCATCAGTTTTCTTGGGTGCTACCTTTTGTTTTGTGGCAGGCTTAGCGCTACTTGGCAGTGTTCTAAAAATCACCATTAGAGGCGGCACCTCGGTGCCAAGCACCAGCTCAGCGCTGCGAATAGCACATTGGTCCACGTCAGCGCGATGGTCAACATCGGTCCACGTTGGCGCCTAGGTGCAGCAGCGATTAGTCAACTAGGCGGCTGACTGGTGGTGGTGGTGGTCTGGTTCTGGCGGCTGCTTGGATAGTTGGATGCATGTTGCTGCTGTGGTGTAAGTTGCCGATTTCAGCCTTTGGCATGTTGGCAACTATCAAACAAATGGTAGAATCAAATATTCAAATCCTAAACACATGTATTTTCTACAAGTTGGATGTTGGCATGCTGCAATTTGTTATGTTGTATACTTAACTCACTATCTAGGACCTGGTCAATTCTCCCTCCCAAGTTGGCTCTAGGCGCTACGCATCACCCTGGTGCCAGACTAGCGCCTAGCACCTTCTTGAACACTGCTACTTGGTCATGGTTTCATGGTCAGAGATGATCAGGTAATACGTTTCTTGTTTGTATAACTTGTATAGGAGTAATGTCACCTCCTGGGTTATCTTACAATGAACCTCATGGTTTAAGCGAACATTGTGGTTGTTCCTTGCAGGTACAGTAAAAAAAAAACTGGCAAGAATCTGTGGGATCTGGCTAAGGCGAAGACCAGGGATATTGGAAGTGTACAAATGGTCAGTGAGTTTCTTCTCTCTTTTTTTTTTTTTTTGTGGTGATCTCGTCAAGTAGATATTGAGTTGCAAATACCTAGTACTAGTATCTGGGCTGTCTGAACACAACAATGTTGAACGATGATCACATGATATATTTCAGCTGATGTATAAATCAAGAGAATTATTCATGTATTCCGAACAAGGTCATATCAATACTATATTACAGTACGATCCGACGGCTCTAGCCAGCGTCTCTGACATTTCCCTAACCAATCCTTTAATGACAAAATGTCTTCGTCAGATAATGCAAAATGATTTCAAAGGATTGGATCGATCTAATAAGACGCAAAAAGAGGTTGTAAGCATCTCAGCGGGATGCGTAATGTATCGAATTACCTACGCAGACTGTAAGGGAGGAGGAAAGAACGACGGATTCAAATCCAAAATGGATAAATTTCGAACAAAATTACCTTGGGTGACGGGCAGGGCAGAGATTCGATTTCGATGTTCCAATTCCTGTCACCTTCTTATCCTCTTCCTCTCTTCCAGTTGTGTTCTGCAAAGACAGAGCAAGAGGAGATGGTTGGCTGGGAGCAATGGCTGGCGGTAGCTAGAGAGGGCCAGCGAGTGTAGGGGTCTCCTACAAGTAATTCTCGGCCGCAGCTAGCGTATATACCCGTAGTCTACGTACTGCTTCGGTCAAGTCTCCTTCCGCACGATAGGAAGAAGAATCTTTGGACCTTTTCAACCTCGCGAGCTAATGTTTTCATTTACGACTCAGTGATCACTCAGTAGAGTTGTTCAAGTCCTGAGATTTGAGTCAAATCAACCCATGGAACGTCGCAGAACAAGGCCCCACAGGACACTAGCTAGAATCCTGATTTTAACTTGGGAAGTAACTTGAAGCCTCGCAACAAATCATCGCCAAAATTATTAGTCATTTGCAGCCAGTAACAATTTTCCTTGACGGGCGAGCAGTAGTAGTAACCTTTACACGCATGAACTCGCTGGTGTAAACTATATAAATCCAGCACATACTCACTGGTCAGCTGGTGTAACTATATAAATCCGGTCATGCATGCCACAAAACTCTACGCCGTCCACAAAACTGAGCATTGCTTTTGATGCCAACTTAATTCGTGCATGCTGACCTCCTTAGAAACAAATGGGTGATTTCAAATAACTTACGGGACACATGCATCGTCTCATGTGGCCACGGCCAACAGGCAGTAATGTATCAGAGCTGGCAGTATGGTACTAACCGCTAGCATATTATACTCAAGAACTGCCTAGAGCTAGGGGGTAAAAAAAAGGTCAGTCAAACAAATTTGTACTCGAATATGATTGGTAAGGATCAAATCTAAATTGAGGCAATTCCTTCTTTAAACCACGGCAAAACGTGGTCGGTAGGAGCAAATCAGTAATACATGTACATTCCACTGTTCTGCACATACTGCATAGAAGCGCTATGCACAAGGGCATATACAATGTTATGGGGAAAGAAGCTGTAATCAAGTTTTTTTTCTCTTTTGCTCATGATGGCACCTTGTGTATAAACTCAACCATGCATACGTTCCTATTTGACAATGCAGCAAGGATATGATATTCGCCTTTAAATTTGCCACCACATTACCAATCTATAGGGTCATTACCCTTCTGTACAGAAAACAACTTTAGCTGGTCAGTTCTATGATGATAGTGCAGCTAATCCAATGTGGTCATCTTCCTCAGCACTAAGTCCATGGCGTGCAGCAGAGCTCCGGTTTCGAGCTGGACATCAGAGAAAGCAACGTTTGTTAACAGAGTAGAATAATCCATATTCAAAACTAGCTCTGAGTATATGATAACTAAACAAGTGCTCAATCTGCATGGTATAACAAAAAGCTGGCAATGGAATTATCAAAAGTTAGCAAGGAGGGCTCAAAAGTATTCAGTCAGTTAATAGAAGAATCTAGTTGGTAGAAGAATGAAAACAGTACAAGCAGGATGATCTCCACTTTACTCGGTTTAAAAATCCTTGAGTAGTGGCAGACTATGAAACAAAGGCAACGACAAGAAAAATGATTCAATTTTTCAGCTAATGTACTTATTTCCGTTTATTAAAACAACGTTGTGTTCATCCATTACGCAATAATAGAATAAACATATTACCATAAAAGAAATGCAAGTCAGTTCTCACTTGTAACGTTGGTAATAACATTAGTAGCCTTTTGACCAACAAGAGCTCTCAATTTGTTCCCTGAAGCAAGCAAAAGTAAGCTTCGCATAAGTAGCTTTTGATCTTTTGGACTTGCAGTTTTGCTCAAAGACTCATCAAAGGCTAGCAAATCTTCCTGCTTCATGTGTGGGAGGGACAGAAGAACCTACAAGCAAAGCACTTCCTGTTAGTCCCAATGCTCAAAATTTCTATGAAAGCCACTGCTATAAGTGGTGTAATTATTTTATTGTATAAGCAAGCAGCTGTAGATTTCAAATTGTGATAATACATGTTTCTGTAAAAACATATGCATAGCTTCAAATTCAAAAAGGCGACAGCACAACTGTTGCAGAGAAAGCCAATTATGTGAAATCAAGATATTTAAATCGCATTTTCATTCAGCAGTTACTTTTGCCCAATTATATATCTCAAAAATACCTGTCTAGGTGCGGGATCTCTATCTGAGAGATAGATATATATTTCTCGACAAAGTCCAACAAGTTCTGAACTCGTAATGGAATTCAACTCAACAGATAAGCCATGTAATATGGAAGAAAATAGATCTTTCGCAACAAACTGACTCAACTCAGCCCGATTTGTTGCAACAGCAAGGTGAATCAATGCACCACAAAAAGGAATAATTTTTGTGACTGCTTCACTATCTGTCCAACTGAACACTTCAACAGTTATCCTCAATGCAGGAACAGCAGTGGAGACATTAAGCATAAGAAATCTGCAAAAGGATAGCAAATCAGTCTTTTGTTGAGGTGAGAGGTAGCACACAGCTGGCTAGAAATTTTTGTATTACCCAGTGATAGAGCTGGAAACAAACAACTCCAGATCCTTAAGAGAAGAATTAATCCGGTTGGCAGGTCCAAGTTGTTCTAAGGATGGAAGACCACTATTCAAGCCTGGTGATGCTAAAACCCAAAGAACGGAACATACTTCACGAGTCAAGTCTCTAAGCAATTTCTCTTCCATTACCTCTACCTTCAGATCTGACCCAGAAAGATTACCAAAATTATCAGGAACCTTAGCCCGGCCCTCACGAAGAAGACTGGACCAAGAGAAATCAAGAGCTTGCTGACAATGGACAAATAATGGCTGTAAAAGGTTCGATATCCACATCCGCCACAGTTCAGGAGGGCAATATTTAACCAAAGGAATAATAACAAGGTGGATAAGTTGGCGCAAATGCCGAAATTCCATAGCTTGCACGTTCTCCATAAGAGCAGCAGTGATGGAGGAACCCTCTATGCATCGGAAAAATGGATCCCCAAGACTAGCCGATAGTCCTATAACATTGTACCTGCAGTATGATATGTTCAGATGGGTCAAAGACAGATTTCAGGACAAATGGGTCTTAGTGTAAGATGCAAATTTTCCAGATAAATGTAGCTCAACCATTCTCATATTTTAAGGGATATCAGAAATGTTAATCCCATGAATTCACCTGGGCTATTTGATATTATAGCCAGTATAACTATCAATAGGAATTAGAAATTTGATCATATGAAAGACCAGATGCTTAGGTTAAATTTTTACCCACTGTCACGGATCCCGCGTAACCAGTTCCTTATGGTGTTTTCCTTAGACTCTCCCTCCCTTTGAACATCCAACAATCCATCAGCAGATGCAACCTGGCCTTTGGTGAGTTTATTTGTCTCCCCAAGAAGGCTGGTCTGCTCCGCCACAGTCATGCTTTTTGCCGCTTTGACTTCTCCTGCCAGAGACTGAGAAAAGGGCTCGGCCCAAAGCATATGTATGCATCGCAACAGCTGAAGATCAGGGAGAAGGGGAAAAATAGTGATGTCAAAACTATAGTTAGCTATCAGCTTAACCAATACATAGTAATTACATCAAAAAAAAGAATGATGTGTTGGCAAGAAAGAAGTGCCAAATTACCCTTAACAGAGGGGGCAGAATCCATGGTAGATGTGAACACATTGGATGCAGATTAGCAGTTACCACTGTTGTGGCCAGTGCTTGTGGAGCTGATGCAGATTTTTTGGACCCACCCCTCTTGAGTGCCTTCTCAAATAATGTGATGTTGTGATAAATTGACCACATAAATTGGCTGTCAGCAAACATGTGTGTCAAGCCAGATGGGTCAGACAAGTATGCATTTTGCCATTCCACTTGCGTCCACATTTTGTTGATAGGTTCTAGTAACCAAGCCAGGACTTCCTGTTGCTGTTGAATCCTACAAATAAGGTAGAAGATCCAAACATATGATGGAACCCACATTGACAATGTCACAATAACATAATGTTAAGACATAAATCTGAAAAGGTGCAGAAACCGAAATACCCTGCAGAGGATGCCATGACAAGAAACGCTTCACAGAGGTGGTTATGCTCAGCACGTAGTAAGCGACCCTCTCCTTGAAGATAAGCCATTGTATCAGCAATGTTCTGCATAATTGGTAATCATTGTCAGCGACCACAAGAGAATAGATGCTATGGTGACTTGGTGAGCAGGACTATAGAATGCAAAAATATGCAGGCCAAAATAAATTAAGGCAATCTTGATAGCACACTGCATTTCTTACTTTGTTCATGTACACATTTGCTACCCTACATTGAAGACAGGCCACACTGATTTCCTTAGTTCATCAACACACATTTCTTACCTTGTTAACATAAATTGTAGAACTGTAGCAATAAATCTTTGCAACGACGATTTTAAAAAATGTTATGTAGTTCAGTGGGATCGTAATTGGATAAACTACTGCCACATGTACATGCTATAGCTGCCAGCCAGCAATAGACATGCATTCCATTAGGGCCAAGATGGCACACTAGGGTTGCAACAAGCTAGAGAGAGTATAGGATCTATCAGCTAATGTCTAGCTGCAGATTAAGCTATCAAGTACAGTAAACACATTGATTTGATAGGATCAATGTTCTAAAGGGCGCACCACCTAACGTCGTCTAGGCCTCCTAATCACTGATTAGATTATAGCTGCTGGTCTGCATATGATTTGTGGGTAAAGCCTTGATAAACATTGGACTTTGGATAGGATCTTATTTATACAAAGTGTTACCATGATTAATTGGAAACATTAGATTAGGTTCTCAGGGACTAGCTGGCATCATCTGTCACAAATCCCTCGAGCCTCGAGTTGCTATCTTTAGGCTAGTTTACCTTGACCCAGCCATAGTAAGAAAAATCAGACAGCCTCAAACAGAAATCTCAAACAGCTCAATTTGCTTCAAAGACATGCTACCAGTAAAAAACAATTGAACTGGCCAATTCCACATGAAAACCAGTTAACCAGGAAATTCTCAGCAAGCAGCTCAAGCACAGGAGTGGAACACATGGGCCACTAAAGGACCGCATAGTCAAACCATTAATTAAATGGGCATGAATAAAGGGTCATGCAGGGGGATTCAATCTCTAATCAGCAGAGCACAATCCTGCCTCGGGTACCACCTAGCTAGCTCGGCTTGTTATATTTACATACGAATACTAACTCAGAACTCAGAAATACTAGCACATATCATACTATCAACACAGGACAGCTCTACACCATATAATCCATAAATCTCCCTCCCTCTCTTTATCTCCCTTTTGAGTTTTTTTCTTGAATACGCATGAGCGCTGTGTATCATTTCATTAAGAGAGAAGAAAACACAAGGGAAGCTGAAACACCCCCACTCACCCCAAACATACAAGTCTTGAACTTAAAACAAAATTAACTCAACACGAACTTACGCAACCAGAGTGAGAGACCTACTAAGAAACTCACTGAACTCACAAGCTCCAGCCACGCACCAAAAACCACACACAACACTAGGATTAGCCCCATTAAACACAATCATTTCTATGCTTCCATATTTAAAGCTAGTTACTCTCATACACAAATATATTTAAAGCTTGTATGAAACACGGTTATAACTAGCGATCCACTAGTCAGACCAGTGACAGTCCAGCCTGTTCAACAACTGGTCTGACTAACAGGCACCAAACAGAGGCCTCCTCATGTGTTCCCATCTAGAGTATGTGGATCTTCTTTTCTGCTCCATAGCCATCAAACAGCTCGTGGAGTAGCTCTTCATCCACCGGATACACCAGATGGCTCACCATGATACAAAGAACTCACTCAGTATCGGAAGCCATGGTGAGTGGCTCTGATACCAAGTTGTCACGACCTGAGGCCACGATGGGATAATCACTGCCAGGATGATAGCCAGGCAGCGTAGGCTGCTAAGGAAGGTATGTAGACTTAGGTTGGTGAGAAGAACATTTGGGGAGAGATTAGACTAATTCTGATTCATTGCTTAATGATAATAGACACAATCCCATCCTTGTATAGATGGAATAACTTGGCCCCTAAGTAAGGACTCGATCTAATCTTATGTTTAACTCACCTGGTACTGAGCTGCTAATGGCTCAGTCTCTCGGCCCAATGCCCATGACACTGCCTCAAAGCACCATACTTCAAATTGTCACTATTGGTCTCTGCAGCATTTATCCCTGTTGCTCTATGTTGCATAACTAATGTATTTTGATGTTAATGACCTGCTTGCACTTAAATGTCTTTACAATGGTCATAAAGAAATTCACACTGTTACACTATGCCAAAAGTGGAAATAGATAGTCACATCAACAAGATCACACTAAAATTTTAACAAAACTAAATTAATCGAATCTTAGTATGGCACTGATGGATTGTTCTTCTACTTATCGATATTAAGTTATTAATCACTAGAAAAGAGTATCTTCTTTGATCCATAATAAATTCTTACTAGAATAATTAGTACAAAAAAAGTGGAAAATCATCCACGTACTACAGCTATTTGTATCCTAGGTGTCCGGGATTATGATGTATGATGCAAGACTTCACTTTGCAACACAGCATTGTACTCACAAACTGATTCTTTATCAAGTCACAATAACCGTGTATTGATAAAACTTGAGAGCATGTACAACCCAAGACCGTAAATAAGAGCAATGTACTTCCCAGGTAAATTTCCCTCATTTTGCAATTCAAATATCATGAAGACCCATTTTCTACTTGTAACTACTACTCCCTCCGTTTCATATTGTAAGACTTTCTAGCATTACCCATATTCATATAGATGCTAATGAATCTAGACACATATGTATGCCTAGATTTATTCGCATCTATATGAATGTAGCCAATGCTAGAAAGTCTTACATTGTGAAACGGAGGAAGTACATCATATTAGAAGTCCAAAAACACAACTGCGCTGGAAGAATGGCAAGTTGTCTACCATACAACTAAATGTAGCTCAAAGCAACTGCATGTGAGATCAAATGGGAAACCAATTAGGGACAAATCCTAACCTTCATGTGAGGCAGAAGTGCTTTATCAGCAGCTCTTGATATACGAATGAATGATGAGCAGATCTGCAGTCTAGCTTGACGGAAATTATTTGAAGGGTCCTATTGATACAGAAAATGACACAAAAATGTAAATACATAACATGTTATTAATTACCAGGTAACTCAAAACATAGCAATTGACAAGCAACAGGAGAGAAATAAAACGCATGAAAAGTCCACATCTATATTCATTTCTGTGAAGTCTTCTATAGTATTGAATTGGAGTGAAGGATTCAAAGTCCCTGATTTGCCACATCGTAACATCAGGGTATTTAATGTGTATTGCTTAGGTATTTTGCTGCAGCCTAGAAAATGTACCTGAATTGTGATGGGGAGAGATGTTAATATTTCAAAAAGCTTATTCACAATACAGGCAACTGCATCTGGGTAATGTCTCAAGAAAGGACCCAAAGAATCCAAATAGTGACCATGAATAACAGCAAGATTTGGTTGTGACCACTTTAAAGAAAGAAGCTGCTGAAGTAAGCCTGGTCACAAAAAAAAAATGAAAGTAAGAACATTGTATATCCAAGTATCCAACAGCAGACCTAAATTAAAGTTTAAAGACAGCTGAAACCTTCAAAGATCCTGTGAATTTGGAATTTTGTGTCCTGGTCAATCTTTGAATAATCAGATGAGCCATCGAATATAGCACTAACAACTGCTTCCAGCCCCAGCTGCGCACCTTCCATTGCATCAAGATCCTGGCATGGATATTTAACTCAAGTTACACAACAACAACAAAAAAATAGAAGGTAAAACTTTCTTTCAGCAAAATTGCAAGACTCCATTAAATTGATGTCGCAAATATATGTAGGTAATGTATCCAACCTGGGATGATTTCGTTGCTTCATTAGCATCTCCAAATACAATGTTTATTCTCTGTACAATGCTTGTTGCTGTAATACCAGGCCTTTGAGATGCAATGACTTTTATGAGATCCAGCTGCAGGAAGAATTCAGGGAACTTGTTAATTAAGTAGTAAATGATTTGTGGAAGTACAAAATTAATTGCATGGCAAATATCCTGCATTGCCACAAATCACATGTCCATATTGAAAATCTGCGAAAAAGAATGCATGTTGTCACAAAAGACAAATGGATACTTGTAGCATGAAATGGCATATGACAATATGTACCCATGCTAACAATCATGAACTTATGTGGCTGCCTCGTGGCTGAACGTAAAAGAATAACAATCATGCTTTTATTCAGCTAGAATACCTAATAGGCATACCCATGAACTTATGTGGCTGCCTCGGTGAGCAGCACTGCTCCAGTGCCTCAACAAATAACTTGCACTTAAAGTAAAATCAGATTCGACTGAGGAAAATTTGCACTTTGAACTAAAACAAATTGCAGCATAGAACTTGATGAATGCCAGAGAATTTGCTGCTCTGCGTCAAACAAAGAACATGCTGATTGCAATTGGTAACAAACTGACCAAGCAGATTGGCAGTTTGCTTGCTCTAGTTGATAAATAGTTTAAGAACCTAAACAAGCTCTATGATAACAGGCAAACTCTCCAAGTAGCAGGCAGGCAGGCACTCACGATGTCCCGTGTCCCTTGGCTCCTAAACAGCTGAAATTATGTGGATGTTGATCAACAACATGTGTGTCTGAACTCTGTCAATATCCTTGTCTAACATACACATCAACCAAGGGACCAACCAAATGTAGAACACAACCCAAGGACTAAAGCTGTAGATGTCAGATGGTGTTTGCGAGGCTATTCCAGAAAAGTTGAGTGCAATTGGACTGATATTTGTGTTGTGATACATCAGGTTTGCATGCCAAAATAAGTGTCAGTAGTTTTTCTTAATTTTTTCCAAGGATATAACGACTGAATGAGGCAACTTCATGAAATTGTTGAATGTTAAGCAAGAGGCAACAGCAACTACAGTTTTTACATGTCAGGAGAAAACAAGACCTACCAGCTTGGCACGGTAGTTGCAGAAGTCACTCTTCCCCTCTAGCTCTTCACTCCATAGTTCTAACAGCCCTGAAGATGCACTCGTACTTTTTTTAAGCATTCTTTTGAACGTAACATCCAAAATTGTACTGTACATTTCATCAGTGATTAATACTGACACCCCTTTCTTCTCCCTTTCAGTTGAACCACCACCAGTAGATGCAGAATTACCGGCAGCAGGGGTGTCACTAGAAACACGTGCAACAGACTTAGCTTTTGATGGTTCTCTCAAGACCACCTACACATAGCTCATGTTAACATTCTAAGTAAAAATGGTATTGCATTGATGTTAACTATGCAAGAAGAGACCAGAGGTATACCAGCCAAAATAATAAAGATTGGAAATGAAGCGTGATCTTGTAGTGTTGATAATATTCCAGCATCTATGAGGAAACAAAATAAATTAACATTAGAATGATGCAACATGTAGACACGACAAACTATGGTGTTATGAAATTTTAGGCATGCACACGTGAATCAGTTAATTCTTCCATTTCATATTATAAGATGTTTTGGGTTTTCAATAGATCAGTGCATGGATCCATGTATGTGCTTCATATATGTGTCCAAATTCATATGTACTTTAGTGAATCTAGACGAGTGATGGAGAGGCCAAAATGTCTTATAATGTGGAATGGAGGTAGTAGTAACTAAACTTTATGTTACTAAATAGTTAGAGGAGAAGGTGCTGCACAGCAGCATTAAGCATTAATCTCGTGTAAGAAATATATGGAGAAGTGTATTTTGAACTGCGCACCTGTTGTAGGAAGTGCAAAGTCCTTGCTACATCAGCTAGTATGCACTGCATATTAGAAGAACCGAGAGCAACCATTGTCTCACAAATACACATTGCAAACTCGTATTCATTAACATCAATAACGTTGGGCTGCATCTTGGATCTCACTAAAAAATCTTGTGCAATGTTCATCAACAACTGGAAAATGTTGCTCATTGCTGCATCATACTCCACAATCGCGACATCCAAAGGCCGTTTCCTGAGCTAGGTTGCATTGGACAAGCCAATAACATATCAGAAAAGGTGCCGACAGAATGAAATATAGGTTAAGAAAAATGCATCAGCCTCTCAGTACCTCTGGCATATAATTTTAAAGAATTCACAAGCATGGAGACGAAAATCACTGTAAGAAAACAAGGATCCACATCTGCAAAATGGAATTGCTGGTAAAATAAAGGGGAAAGAAAGCCATCCAAACATGGAAGAAAAATTCAAGCATACAGACCCATGAATTAAACCATATTTGGCGAGATCTGTCACAGGAGCCCATTCAGCATATGCATTGGCAGCATTCAGCACAGCAGTTATTGTCCCAACATGTTGTTTAGCCAACTCCATTTGCTGATTCGTGTGCGCGCTCAAAGCAGCTACAAAGTGTTTCTCAAGTAGCTACAAAATGAGACATTACAAGATGCTTACATTAGTATGTTGTAAAAATGACGAGCCTCCGTTTTTCGACAAATAAAGGAAAAACTTACAGAATATAACAGCGGCAGGATTTGTGGCAACGACTCAGTAAGACCACGTAACAATGCCCTACGTCTATCACCTGTTGCATGTAATTAACAATTTAACAGGAGAAAGACAAAGTTTCTATTTGGAGTTTGACACTTCAAGTGAATACAGTTTCAAGTGATCAGGACAGAGAAGTAAGCAAATAGAATTTACCTTCTAAATCCTCATTGTGAACAGTGATATCCTCTGGAAGCCACCTCAGAATCATGGCAACTAACTCAGCCTAACAGTTATAGGGAAGGAAAATAAAATGCAATTTAATATATCGACTGGTAGAGGTACAGAAAAAAGCTGCAAAGCTGCAAGGAGCATACCTCAATAGGACCATTGTTTGACAACGAAACAATAGATGGGAGTAAAGTATTCCACAAAGCAACTCCCTCCCTTCTAACTACCTACAAGATAAGACGGTCACTAAAAAAGAATGTACCTAAAGAAACAAATATTGTCGCAGTACAAAGGTTTCAACAAAAGTATATGAGAATAGCCATGTAAGGGACCTCTGCTACTAATGCAGCCGTTTGACTCTTCAAAGCCCACTCCTCATGAGGACCAACAACCTCAGGTATCAAATTAACAGTCAAATTAGCAAATTCATTTCGTTCTGCAACACTGAGTTCCTCCCATCTCAATCTCACCAAGTGCTGTAAAAGTTACCAACAGAACCATTAGTTATGACCATACTAAAATACAAGAAGATAATAGCTCCTAATAGAGAAAAATATTTTTCATACACCGAAATAGCAGTAAATAATGCATTATGGCCACAGTCATCACAGGATATCAAGTTTAGAGCTCTAAGAGAATTACAATACAAGCATTGCTGAGGCAATGACTGTGAGATTGATAAAACGGTTCTAAATGGAAAACTCACGTCGTATGTAAGATTTTTTTTTTAACAGTGGAAAATCAAGTTGACCATACTAGTGGTTTTTCTTTTTATAGAAAATACTTTCTGCGATGCACTAACAATTGTAGATGTGTACTGCTATGGAAATGAGGCGTCATGTTTACGAGGGTAAATAATGACTGGCCCTTTTCTTTTGAGAATGGTCATTCATCCTAAAAAGGTCTCAGCCTGGAAGGATATCCTAGTCACGTTCACCATGAAAATAGATCAACTGGTTCGAGGAAGGGGGTCAGATGGTGTAGGTCGAAGGAGGCTGAAATTGGTTAAAAGTTGAGTAGTAGAAGTGAGAAAAAGCACTAACACACCAATGGTAAAAATGAGCTGCTGTAGATATTAGTAACAAAAGCAAGATGGAGCAATTTATTAGTGATAAGAAGAATCATGTTCCTACAAGGAAAAGTGCATACCAAATGTACATGATTTACTAGAAACAAGGAGTTTAGACCATATGGTCAATCATATGTTCGATTGGCCATGTGATTGATTCTAGTAAGGAAGTCAAAACAGCATGCTGATCACTAGAAAAAAAGAACTTCTGGATTTCAGATCATATTCAATTGTGTGGTGTAGCTTTTGGCAATTAACTGGTATGCCGATACTGTTTGGCATAGCAAGCTACAACAAGCGCACCTGCAACATTTTGAAACCATGCAGTCGGACCTCTGAAGACTGGTCCTTTCGGACCAATAAAAATGATGTGTTCGCCAATGCCCGGACATCTCCTGTCTTAACCTGCATTTCAAAAGTCTCATTGTCAAACAATGGCATTACATTTGGGACAAGGAGGCAACACAGGATTTTTCTTATACCAGCGAAAATGTGCAAAAACATTATCCATGAAATGAACTAACTAATCAGAGCAGTAACGGTTACACACTATAACTGAAAGAGTAGAGATTAGAATATTGAGTTGAATGCACCAGTTAGTTCACCAAAGAGCTTAAGCTGATTAGAGAAGGGCGAAGAATTCACTTAATACTTCTAACAATCGCTCTCACATAGAGGTTCCCTCAGACCTCAGATATGGAAAAGAAGTGAACTGCAACTTTTCATTTAATTTCGTCAGCCAGCATTCCAAGTGGAGACCTCTTGCATGCTTCAGTATTCTAAAATCATATTGAGTTGAATGCGTCAGCAAATGGAAAAGTGTGGGCAGTTCACTTATAGACCAATCGTGTGCAAATTGACGAAGATCAAAACTCGTGAAAGCTCGTGATTGTTGAATACATATACAATCAACAGAAAAAATGGCCGTGTTGCATCAATATTCCCATCAACCCGTAAAAACAAATAGTAGAACACAAAATTAGGAAAAAGCTAAACAACAAGCATCCTAGCGAAGCATCACCAAAGCGCTCCCCACCCTACCATTTTTTTTAAAAAAAAAAAGAGCATCCACAGCAGTTGAGACGAGAAAGGGAGGGGGTGGCGGCACACGGACCGATTCGAGGTACGCGAAGGCGGCGGAGCGGGCGTCGGGGGAGGAGCGCCAGTCCATCACGGCGGAGATCGCCGCCACGGCGGACGCTACGGCGGGGTCGGCCGCCATCTCCACCAGCGAAGGGGAAGGGGCGGCGGCGGGTGGGCGGGAGTGCTAGCGGAGGGAGTAAGTTAGGGTTCGGAGGCGGCGCATTGGCGTGCGGCGGAGGGCGCGGTGGCCGGGGGGAGACGGGATCGCGCTAGGGTTTGGGTTGGGCGGCGTCGCGCGCGGCCGGAGCGGCGTTGATGTGGGGGCTTGCTGGATTGCGTTGGTGTGGGTGGGTTTAAGGGGGAAGAAAGAGGAAAGAAGAGGGGAGAGTGGGTGAGGACTGAGGAGAAGTAGGGGGCAAGCCAAGTAAAAGGAAGCGGAGGAGAAAAGGGGTAGAAATGGTCGGTGGACTGGCCCGTGAGGCGGTTGTGTTTACTCCTGGCTCTTTCTGCGTTCTTATTTTTAATGGGGTGTGTGATTAATAACATGTTGAAAAGAATTGGAGGCTGTTTGGATGGATTACTCACTTTACCAAACTTCTATGCTACAAGTGTGGTATGCCATAGTTTTTGTGGCACCAAAAAAGAGAGCCACACTTGTGGCAAATTTTTGTTAAATGAGTGTATGACATGTGGGCCATGAGAGTAGAAAAGTGTGGCATGCCAAATCTTTGGCTTCAACCAAACATTTACACCAAAAGTCAAACTTGCCTAACTATAGTGTGGCAACGTTTGGGAAGCAACCAAACAGCCCCTTGATCTTTTATATGGGTGTATTTTAATTTTAGGGAAAATTTGAACCATGCCACATAAATTTTGCAAAATTTGTGATATACCACCCTGACCCACATGTCATTAACTCATGTGGGTCCTATATGTCATTGAGATACGGGTGGCATATCTCAAATTTTGCAAAATTAAGGTGGCATGGTTCCAACAAACCCTTTATTTTATTGGTTTTGTTTTGATCCTAAGTCTACCGCAGAAATTTTAAAGATATCCCAAAGTATAAAGCCAGCTGAGAAGTTAGAGACCAAATGAACTATAGAAGGTTGTTAGCAATGCAAGCTACTCATACGAGGAACCTAAGGGCACTAAATAGGATGAAGCACTTTGAAATCACGCTCTCCGCAATGCAAAGAACCTATTGTGGGATCTTATATACTTTTGCATTACAGTCCCTACTATCTTTAAATTTACATTAATGCAAAAGTTTACACTTGGAACCCTAAAATCTACACAATAATATAAAATCTAATCCATCCCCACCTAACCTCTCCAATCATCTGATTTCCTCTCCTCTCAACTCCCGCCGGCACCGGCATCGACGTCAGCACCATCTCAGTGCGGAGAATCTTAGAAGGGTGGTGGGCCGGCAGTCGAGGAGCTCCCTCGGCTGCGCGGCGACGAGCTCGCGACGAGCTCCCTAGCGGCACTGGACAGATTGGACCGTCGCCTCTCTGTTAGCCCCTTGACCCCTTCTACACTCTTCACACCGTAGACGACACCACTGCCGCCAACCACAACCACACCTCCCTCCCCAACACTGGGCGGAGGGGAAATCGACACCTATGGCCACCACCATCCCTCTCTTTCCCCCACTCCAGCCACCACGCCTAAGTGTCTTTCCATCGCAGCGCAGATCGCTCGGAGGAAGCCGAGCTCGATGGGGCACCGGCGTGACCGCCTCGAGGTCAGCGGCATGGAGGAGGAGACGGCGACAATGATAGCAGCGTAGGAGCGGGGCACGAGATCGGTGGGGCTGCCTCGAGGTGAGCGGCACAGAATGGGAAACGACGGCAAGCTCTGCAGCACAAAGTGGGAGATGGTGACGAGGTCAGCGGCAAGCTCGGCAGGCAAATCTAGCGATGGGACAAGCTCAAGCTGCTCTCCTTCTCCGGACGTTGGCTCCGGCAACATAGATCGGGCGCGCCGGGTGGCGACGCAGTAGATCAGCCCCGTCATCGGCTCCTCCACTTCCTCTAGTGGGTGGCGAGGGCATCCCCTCCCTTTTTTTGGTTGAGGCAGTGAGGTCATAGGGGCGGCAGGATAGCGGCGCGCAGGTTGCTTGCGGCATTGGTTCTTGCACATGCTCCACTTTTGCCTATCACCAGTTATTTTTGCAGGTGAGGAACTCGACTCTTCCTTTGGACCTGAGAAAACCTCACAAAGCAATGCCCCCCTCACCCCACGTTCTCTCTCTTCCACCACATCATCTATCCTACGTGGCACAACGAATCTACGTGACATGGTGGCTCACTGTGAAGGGCCTAAGAAACAACAATAGTAGTAGAGGAGGTTTTTTTTTCGGGGCAATTGGTTATTTGACCCCGTTTTGAACCCTAACTATCAATTTGACCCTACTTTTTGAAGTTTGCTTATTTGACCCTCCTTTTCAAAAACGAAGCTATGGTATGACCATATTTTGTTAAGGGCATCTAACGGTGTTAACTGAAGCACAAAATATCTCTTCTGCCCTTACTCATTTGACCTTATTGCATGTGAGACCCACACGTAAGTTCTCTTCTCCTCTCCTCCTCTCCTCTCTTCTCTCTTCTCCACGGATCCACCACAGGGAGAGTCGGCCAAAGGCGAGACGGCGAGCCGACACCAGCCCTGGTGATGACGACGACGACGACGACGACGAGTGGCCGCGGCGAGTTCTTGTCCTCTCCTCCACGTATCCACCACAGGGAGAGGTGGCGAAAGGCGAGACGGCGCTGGCCCTGGTGACGACGACGACGAGGAGTGGCGGCGGTGAGTCTGGGCGGTGGAGCTCGAGCTGCGGTCAGCGGATTCGGTGCCGCCACCGCCGCCTCCTCCCTTCTTCCGCACGCCTGCGCTGGCGCCGCCTCCCTCATCCTGCGCCGGTGCCGCCTCAGCCGCCGTTGCCCCTCAGCCGTCGTGGATCTTCTCCCTCCACACCCCTCAGCCGCCGCCGCCGCTGCTTCCCTCATCCCGCGCCGGCGCCGCCTCAGCCGACACCGCTCCCTCCCTCCGCGCCCCTCAGTCGTCGCCGCCGCCACTCCCTCCCTCCGCCCCCTCAGTCGCCGCCGCCGCCCCCTCAGCGCCGCCGCCACAAGTCGAGTGAGCAGGAAGGAGGAAGGAGAGAGAGAAATGTGGATAGGGTTGGGTGGATGGATAGGGTTTTCTAAGGGTATTCTGGGTATTATGAATATTAGTTGCATTTCTTTTTTTATTTAAATCAAAACTTAACGGACTAGTAGAAACAGGGTCAGACGGGAGCTTCATTTTTGAAAAGGAGGGTCAAGTAAGCAAACTCTAAAAAGTAGGGTCAAATTGGTAGTTAGAGTTCAAAACGTGGTCAAATAAGCAATTGTCCCTTTTTTTTTCTTTCACTCCTTTTATATATTTTTATGTTAGGTAGCTTGGTCACTTTGGAAGTCCTTCCGTGTAGGTAAGGTATCTAACCATCACTAAGTATCAATGCCAATTCCTCCCCCCTCTCCATACACATTATCGTCTATTTACTTTCCAACACTAATATTGCTTATTTCCGATATGTACAATATTAGTATTATTGGGTTGGCTTTTGCCTTTAACTATGAATGAACGGAGTGTGCTTGTTTTTCTCTTCCTCGCAATGTTAAGATGTTCATGGCAAGATAGTAGGTCAGACACGCAATGCATTTATTTATATTGAGATCATGTGAATTACGATAAATTAATGGCATGTCTGCATACATATAAGATGTACATATAGATTAAATAGTAAGCAAACAATGTTTGTAACATATATAATATTAATCCATCACATCAGAAATATTATGAGAAACTGAGAACACATACAACATCAAAGCATGGAACACAAACACTTGGCGGCTCGAAAGCTAGAAGCTGTGGCCAGTGCCAAAGCTTGTGCATTACCGCTAGGAGCTGAATGCAAGCAACGACCTCATTCTCATGGTGGTCCCATTCTCACAATGATAGAGTTGATCAAGAATTGAAGAACACATTGTTGTAAGTTTCAAATTTAACGTGAGTTTTATCGTGCCCTCATGTATTTTGGCTTCGCTAAATTATTACCACTTTCAAACAAATGCTACACGCTAGAATACCCTTTGCTATATGAATGGACTGAAATGCCCCTCATCCTTTCTTTCTCTTTCAACTCTGGTGGCCTCACCACACCAGTTTAGACCATCGTCATGGCGTGCTGCGGAGAGAGATACAGATGGGTACATCATGCCTAGACAGCCCATCACTGGCACCCCATCGTCGTGTCACCCAGCTATACAAGCCGGCTCTTCTATCTTCCTTGTTCCTCCTGCATCAGCGTGACTGTGAAGGCTGCCGCAACCTGTGGGATGCCAAAGAGAGAGGATAGGGAGGTCGCGGGATGACGACGGATGTACGACGGTTGTGGCTTTAATTAGGCGGCACGATTGAGGTTTGACGGGGGGGAAGGGAAGCAATAGTGGGTTGAGCTGGTGGTAGTGGAGCGCATACTGGCGCTGGCGAGTTGGGATGATGGCCATGGTGTTTGGTGGCCACCGGCAAGCACCTTCGGCGTGCTGAGGGAGGGAGAAAAGGAACTCAAGGGCATTTTTCATCTATAATAGTATCTAGCATATAGATATCATTTGAAAGTGGCAATTTGGTGAAGCCAAAATGCAGGATGGCATTATGGTGAAACCCGTGTTTGAAGATGGCACAACAACATTTTTTTTCCTTTAGGTTAGGAGGTATGCCCTGGCGAGATGGGTCAGCTGACCCACCCTATTGAATGGGGCCCTCGCATTGAAGCATACATGTATTTTGTTGTTATAGGTTGTACTAATAGAGAAAAAAGTGTTTGGTTCTCAAGTTTGTTTAATAATAAAAGAGGATGCATCGTTGGGGAAAAAATAATACCAAAATTCTAGTGAAGCATAGGCATTCTGTCTCCTGTTAAAAGTTTTCGCATTGAAGCATACATGTATTTTGTTGTTATAGGTTGTACTAATAGAGAAAAAAGTGTTTGGTTCTCAAGTTTGTTTAATAATAAAAGAGGATGCATCGTTGGGGAAAAAAAGTAGTACCAAAATTTCTAGGGAAGCATAGGCATTCTATTTCCTGTTAAAAGTTTTGTACAATTGCTTATAAGCTTTTGTTTAATGTTGGCAGCGCCAATTTTTTTTTAAAAAAACATGTGAATATATTGTTTTGATATGTAGGCAAATTCTCAGTGTAGTTGGTTTGAACAGCAAACCAAACAGCCCATAGGTCCTTTAGATTAGCACCATCAACCGTTCAACATTATTACACCTATTTTTCATAGAACACAGAAAAAGGTACCCACCTAGGAGTCAAATGCTCATGTGTCAAACAAACAATTAAGATGCTAAAGTAATGGATAGAAGCCACGAAATTCATAGAAACCAATTTACCTTTCTTTATAAACCCTGACCTTTGGCCTGGCCGTCGGATTGGCAGCTGGGCACCCGGATTCGGACGCGTGGCTCTCTTGCATCCATCCATCCCCCACTTGAGCGCAAAAGAGGTCTCTCGATGCGCCGCGCCGCGAACACGACAACTCGACGGTTCTTCTTCCAGGCTTCCACCGTCCTCTTCGACCCCGCCGCCGTCCGCCGCCGCCGCCGCGCCTAGTGCCGCTCCCACTTCGACTCTTCTCCTCCATCGAATTCCTCAGAGACTCCCCACCTCCGGTCGCGCCGGATCGAGGAACATGGACGAGGAGCGGACGGCGGCGTGGTGGGGCCGGCGGGCGTGGGAGCTCCTCTCGGCGGTGCGGGCGCGGGCGCCGCTTGTGCACTGCGTCACCAACCTCGTCTCCATGGACATCGCCGCCAACGCGCTTCTCGCCGCGGGGGCGTCGCCGGCCATGGTCCACTCCCTCCGCGAGGTCCCGGAGTTCACCCCGCGCTGCGACGCCGTGTGCGTCAACGTCGGCACGCTGTCCGAGGGCTGGCTCCCCTCCATGCGCGCCGCCGCCTCCGCGGGCCGCCCCTGGGTGCTCGACCCCGTCGCCGCCGCCGCCTCCGAGTTCCGGATGGAGGCCTGCCTCTCCCTCCTCGCCCTCCGCCCCGCCGTCGTCAGGGGGAACGCGTCGGAGATCCTTGCCCTCGCCTCTCGCTCGCTCGCCGCCTCCTCCTCCTCCTCCACCACCACCTTCAAGGTACCATTTCTAGCTTTGCTCGCTTATTATTGCAACCATTTTGTCTTCGCTTTAATTTACCCATCCGAACAAGTTATAGAAAAAAAAATCTTGATTGATACGATTGAGATGGATTGGTTTGATTGTGAACTGCCTCGTGCTCTCTACTGGAAAGAAAAAGAGTGCCGCGATTAACAATTTTCTGAACTTGATTGTGATTTATTTTTTAGAAAATGGATTAAAAATGGATTGTGATGAGGAAAATAAATCCTCTCTTCTGTCCTCACAATCTGAATCCCAATCGATGCACCTGTTTTTGTTACTCGAGAGTTCAGACCGTTCCATGACTGATTATTATCCAAAATGTCAGATTGATGGCTAATGTCAGATTGATCTTTCAGTTCTGTCAAGAATCAAAACTGACTGACTAACCAAAACAATTTACTAGTACATTGATACTAGTATATAATGTACAATGTTCCAATCAATTCCCATCGATTTTGCAGGGCGCGGACAGTACACATGATTCAGGGGACGCTCTTCAAGATGCAAAAGCACTGGCACGGTCCACCGGTGCCGTCATCGCGGTGTCCGGGGCCGTCGATTACGTCACCGACGGCGAGCGGGTGGTCGGAGTGAGCAACGGCGTGGCCATGATGCAGAAGATAACGGCGACGGGCTGCGCCGCGACGGCCCTCATCGCGGCCTTCCTCGCGGTGGTGGAGGAGCCTTCCGACGCCATGGCCGCGGCGGCGTGCGCCCTTGCTGTCTTTGGCCTGGCCGGGGAGATCGGGATGGAGTCTGGCGCCAAGGGACCCGCCTCTCTCAGGATGCATCTCATCGATGCTCTCTACTGCCTCGACGTGCAGACGGTGACCTCTCGAGTCAAGATCTCCCTGCATTCGTGATAATGTTCGCTCCATGGCCTGCCGAATTTCAGGCCAAGTTCAGAGTTTGGAATAACGGTGAAGGTTTGACATAACACTAGAAATATGAGCGCGGCGCCACGCCTCGCACGCTAACACCTACGTGGTTAGAACTACACGTAATTAAGGTTAATTTGACCACATGGAGTGGCATATTATGTGCATATTAATTTGATTTAACATCAGATTATTATATGGGGCCCCTTTTTTAAGAACTGTGTTACATTTTTTTTCCATCTAAGAGTAGATGAAAAATGGTACAGTTTGAGAAAGTAGGCGGTAACATGCGAGGACAGCAGAGATTGGTTCGAAAAGTAGAATTTAGTCGTAAATGGGTTTAGCAATGATAACCAATAGGTTTACTATGCAGATCATGTACCAAATGAAATTACAGCGAGTTGTTAATACTTGTATAAGGGTTTGCGCATTTATCCATTATATGGTAATTGATATGGACAAGCACACAATACATATATACAGGAACGGGTAAGGAACAAACAATTAATTCAGTGTACAAATAAACATCCAATCTAATCAGGAACTCACGCGAAAAAAAATAACCCTAACAGGTCAAAGCAAACAGAAAGTACGGAAGATATAACAACTCAGAAATCAACACACACTACGAACTGAAAACCCATACATACATAGCAACCTCTTTTTGTTAAAAAACAAGAGCAGCAGCATGGTGATAAAAATCAGAAAATCCCAATAAAAATGGCAACCACTACCCGAGGGGAAGCAGGTTTGGTGTATTCACAATAAAAATGGGCAACAAGTTTGGTGTATTCACAGTATTAACGAAAGTTTTAGGAAACTACCAGCTGGGCAAGTTAAACATGAGCCTAATAAAAAGGAGGTCCATGGAGTAACTTTTTTTTCCAACCAATTCCCATTCCCTAGACATACACGAATTAGGACCATGTCTCTTACATTCGTAAATGTAGTACCAGAATTGCTCATAGAGAAAGAAATTACAAACCCAAAAATTTGGGAATAAAGATGATATAACATAAAAGAGTTGTATTGAGTTAGCAAATATAGAGTCATGAACGACCGGCCCAACATCATCAAGTTCGAGAATTAGTATAAAACCCAAAGAACACAATTGCTTGCACTTACAAAAAGCAGAGCCATTCAATTCTCTACTATACCAGCAACTCCAAAGTCGCAACTAAATTAGTTTGATATGGGAATAACTCACAAAAAAAATACATAAACAACAAATATAATCTCTATAAGCATCAAGTTAGACATGTAAATAGATACATATATACAATGGTAACGTCTGGAACCACTACAAAGAGCACTGTCAGTAGCTTTGAACTGGTGATGGTCCCATGGCATCCAAACAATGGCAGAAATTGAGGGGACAGAAAGGCCATAAAGTCTAGAATCTTTTTCTTCTTTCATGAGTCTCCCCTTAAAGGTTAAGGACACAAATACACACCATTCTCAATCCTCTTTCTGTGGTGATAAACAATACAAGAATACAAATTCATTTAGTTCAAATACAGGTTTAGGAGTTGGGCATGATAAACACATAATATATAGCAGACCACGGTTCCAAACATTTGTTTATTCCGACTAAAATAAAGCCTTACACAACAATTTAAAATTAGGTATGTCAGTTCCTTGTTTTGGTTAATATCGCATGGCCATCACACTATCACAAACAGTTTGAATTCAGGAGTTCTTGCAGTGTTCAGCAAACAGGGTGCAGTAATACACTGTAACAGTTAGTTCTCAATGTCAGGAATGCCCATGGCAACTGGGCTGCTAAAGCATCATCACTATTTCACTACCATGACAAATAATGAAGAACATGATTAATTAAGGAGCTCATGCAGCATAAAAACATTGTACACTACCCTTTCTTCAGCTGATCCTGACATTTTTACCCAACGAACTAAGCAAGTAAGCAAGCAAAAAAAAGTCCTTTTAGAAAAACCAAATCAACTGCTCTTGCAAGCAATCATGCATCTATTTCTAACCTTCACAAAGATGCGCATCCATGTCCTGACCGGGAACTCTGTCCCTCTAAGAGTCTCAAAGAATGAGGATGTCTCAAGATTTGCCTTCTTGATCTTGGTCAACGCCAAGGGCACCTCCAGCACAGGCACCTTCCTCGTCTTGGTCACCTCCTTGAGAACCTTCACGCTAGCCTACTTGAACATACTTGAAGAGAGCTAGAAAAACAAACAAAGAATTATCTTTAGCACTAACTGATGAGGTAAGACATTGTGGAGTAGATAGCAAATCCAAAAAAGTGCACTTGGTACTTAAAGAAGTTTGAAATGTCAGTAACTGGTGAAAACTAATTCTTGGTAAAGCATCACTAAAGAATGGATATGCCATCTTATTTATAGGGTAAAAAAAGGTAAATGAGGGATTCATCAAAGCGATGCAATTGGTAGCACCACCATTTCAACTACTTACACTAACCTATTCTTATCTTTTCAGAGAAAAGGACACCCCTTCTCTTCTTATCCTCTCTGCCATGTCGTTCTTGTTCCAGTGACTTAGAACATTGGAAGATAAAACTGTAGGATCAGTGAAGAGTGAAAAATGTTAGAGCATCTTACATGTCACCTCCTTCACAGTAACTTCTCAGAGACAAATACACAGTGCACGCACAGGTACCCTGCAAGCTGCAAGCATCGTAAAAAAAATAATAAAAAAAACCCTTCGTTTCAAAAAAAAAATCAAATTGGAGTACAAAACTGAACTAAAGTGCGTGGTTTGTATCCTCAGCAACCAAATCATCCTTGTCCTCGATGATGCACGGGTTGTTGGGACTCACCATCAAAGACATCTGCTGATTTGCGCAAGCAAGCAAAGCATCGAAATTCACCATGTTGAGGTTGGTTGTGGCAAAAGGCGCAAAATCGCACCAACTCCTATTGTCCCAAGCACGACGCCATTGCAAAACTTCGTGCCGTCGTACACCAGCGCTGGTAGATCCAGCCACGACGGCCTGCATCCGGCGTTCCCCGGTAGTAGATCGACGCGCGCAGGTCGTAGGGGGACCAAGAAGGTGGTCCACTGGCTGGCGGCGGCCATTACCTTCACGGCTCCACCTGCAGTGGCCAAACCGACCTGCTGATAGTCGACAAGCAGAGGAAGGAGACGTGCAATCCGGCGTCAACGACAACACTTGGGCTGAGCATACCTGGGCACAAAGGGCCAAATCAGATGCTCTCCGACGAAGGCTCAGTGTCGCGGCATCATCGACTCATCCGAGGAGCGGCGCGGCATGGCACCGACAGCCAGCTCAGGAGGAGGGGCTGCGGCCGGTAACGCTGCTCGGAGGAGAGGGGCTGCGGCCGGTAACGCTACTCGGAGGAGAGGGACACGGGTGGAGAAAGGGAAGCGGAAGGGGGTAGCAGGGCACGGTGGCGGTGGCGATCGAAGAGGGCCTCCACCGGAGCCGTCAGCACAGGAGGAGGAGGCACGGAGGCAGCAGATGGGAGGGGTTGCGTGTTGGACACTCCCTCGCGCCATGGTCCGCCACTCCGAGCTGGCCTCGTCGGCAACGGCAGTCCCCGCACCACGCCACCACTCCACCAAGAGAGGAGAGGTGGGAGGGGAGGGGAGGAGAGGAAGAGGGAGACGCAGAGGCTAGGGAGAGGGAGAGGCGGGAAGGTGACTCACCGTTCGCCGTCTTCGCGCCGTCCGCCGCGCGCGTCGGAGGTCCGCATCTGGCCACCGCCGCCACCGCCATCCCCCCTCCCGGCGTAGCCGCCCTCCAAAACTGCCTTCACCCTCCCCTTCGCCCTCCTCCCCTCCTTATCCAATATAGGGGGTCGGGAACGGGGGAGGTCGCACCACAGCGACGACGGCGGAGGTGCCGAATCCAGCCGCGGACGTAGCCGCCTCGCCAGATCCGGAGGGGAGGGCCGCCGACGCCACCGCCCTCACCCCTCCCAGCGGACCCACCGCCGCGGCGTCCACCCTTCGCGCCGCCTCCGCCTTCTACCTCCGCCTCCATCGGATCTGGGAGGAGGGAGGGAAGCCCGCCGCTGGCTCCACCCTCCGCGCAGCCACCGCCTTGAGCCACCTCTGCCACCGCCGGTAGCCGCCGCCGCCCTCCGGCGGCAGCTCCGGCCGGAACCCGCGTCGAGAGAGGAGAGGTGGGAGGGGAGGGGAGGGGAGGAGAGGAGAGGGAAGGGAGAGAATGGGGAGAGGGTTTCGGAATTGGGGGGTTAGTGTAGGACGTTTTGCAGAAAACCCCCTATAGTTTTTATATTTACATATCTACCCCTAAAAGCGGAATTTTCTCTTCTTCGCATTGTATTTTCCTGAAAGACGAGCGGTTATATGAAAGAAATACAACGGGATGTCAGGCGGTCCGAGGACGTATGCGATATTCCGTGAAAACACGAGGAGTTTTTTACAAAAGTTCCCAGCCCTCTCACCGGGAGCAGCCCCTCCACCCTAACCGCCACGCATGCACACCACCACAGCGCCCAAATTTTGATTAACCGGCGCACCGCTTATGGGCGGTTGGCCCCGCGCACGCGAGTAGCAGGAGGGATTAGCAGCGAGGTGTAAAACTATAAGATAGCCCAAAAAAAATTCAAGAAAATAAGAAAAATGGTGGAGTTAGGGAAGTTATTGATTGATGATTTATCAAAAATCAGATTGATCGTTACTTGTCCATGTATACTGTATAATTATACCGGTGATCTTTCTGGACTGTACTGAGTATTCGGTTGTGATGCCAAAACAGAAAAATGCTGAACAAAATAGATTGCATAAAGTATTTTCGGCAAGTTGAAAGAAAGACAATTGTGTATGGGTGGTAGGGATGGCAATCGGGCGTGACGGGCACGGGTAGTGCCTATCCATACCCATGCCCGTGAGATTATTTGTGCCCGTGGGTATACCCATTACTACATGACGGGTAAGGATGGTTGCCCATGCCCATTGCCCGCGGGCGCCTTATGCCCGCGGGCGTGCCCGTTTACCCGCCACAACAAAAGCAGTGGAACAAAAAGTCTACAAGCTACTAACTTCGAATCGAACTTAAAACATCAAATATTCTCCGCCTCGGTGTCGTGTCTCTCCTCTGTCGGCGATAGAGTAAGAGGAGAGAAATAATAAGGGAAATAAAAGGGAAACCGTAGAAAACAAAGAACGTGGCTTATGTATTCTAGTGGATTTTACTCCTAGCCTACATGTAAGTTAGATTTCGCGGGTAAACGGGCAAAGCGGGCATGGGTAGTGATTACCCATACCCATGCCCATTTACCCATCGGGCATAGCTTTTGAACCAATAAGATACCCATGGGTATAAAATGGAGAACAAACCCAACCCTAATAGGATTTTTACCCGCGGGTAAACGGGCAAACGGGCAAACGGGCATAATTGCCATCCCTAATGGGTGGTGTATGTATCGCTGCTGATGTTTCTTGACCGAGTTAAAGATGACCGAATCACTGCATGTTCCAATGTTTTGTTGGACAGGATCACGTTACTTATCGTGTTGCCGGTTGGTAAATTGAAAAAGGTGCTGTGAATAATAGACACAGGGTATCTAAATAACCTTTTGGATTCATAGACACAAAAGTTGAGATGGCCGAGTTGGTCTAAGGCGCCAGATTAAGGTTCTGGTCCGAAAGGGCGTGGGTTCAAATCCCACTCTCAACACATGATTCTTTTTTTTTAACTTTCCTCAAGCCTTCAATTCCTGCAGGGTAGTTTTAAGCCTACACCTCCTTCATAATCATCTCAAATTCACCCCAAGCTAAATTAAGCCTCAATTCAAATTCACCTTACAACATTGTAAATTTTGTATTATTTTCTTTTAATCCATCAGTTCTTTTTTATACTCATCTCAAATTCACCTTACAGCTAATAAATGAAGCCTCAATTACTACTTCAGTGAACATGTCAACGATTAAATTAAGACGGCAAGCAGGCATCATCTCACGGTGATCACTGACAGAGGTAAACGACCACTGTTGCCTCTAATTGACTAATAATCGCAATATAATCATCAAATCAGTTAATCACACATGACATCCATATCGAAGACCCATGCAAAGCAAAATAGAGTATGGCTAGTAGTAGGAGGAGGCCTTGTGGATGGTGAGGATGGTGAGCATGAGGAGGACGAGGTCGGCGAAGGCGGCGATGAGGGCGACGACGACGGCGGCCATGGCGCGCTCGCAGAAGGGCCCGTACACGTCGCACACCTTGGCCCACCTCACGTGCGCGTTGCCGCGCTCGCCGAGGAGGCCGAACTGCGCCGCCGCCCCCACCGCCGAGAAGAGCAGCGCCATCGCCACCAGGTCCCCCACCATCACCGGCACCACCGCGCTCCGCCTCCGCACCGCCGCCAGCGCCGCCGCGCTGAACGCGAACACCATCGCGTTCGCCACCACGAAGTACCTGCATGCGTGAATTCGGAGAAATTTGTTCATGTTTTCGGCCAAATTTTCGAAGAATCTTGCACGCTTCGCAAGTCGAGCTCTCGGATACAGTTCGTCCGCTACAGGCCGGGGTTGGAATCCTGAATTCTGAAATCGACGGCCATTAGCGAGTGCGTGCCCTCTCGAATGTTCAGTGCATTCGTCGCATGAAGCCATCGTCGCATGAAGCCATCGTATACGGCCCCACCGTGTATTCGTGAAATAAGCCAAACAGAGCATATTTGTAAACAAAAAATAATCTGTGAATAAAACTTATATATATATATATATTTAGTGATATAAAAGTATTGACTTAAAAAATAAACTTCAATAAAAAAACTAAAAATCAACTCAATTTAAAATTTAATTGATAAGTATGAGTATAAACGAAAAGATGTGGCCGATAGATAACCGTCACAGTCACGCTTTATCGTTTATTCAACATCGTTCTTGGCGTGACGCTTTCGATGCAAAATCGAGACACCGCTCGCTCGTGCATGCACGTTTGATCTCTAGCTGCACAAGTAAAAGACTTTCTCGAAGAAACAGGGGATCAAAGGGAGTAGTACAATTAGGTAGCTTTGCAAACTATGGGAAATTATAAACGGGTGGTTTATATTCGCTTTGTTAATTTTTGGTTTCCCAAATCAAGCAGCAAACACTGCTCCTACCATCCGAATTAACGTAGGCTACATTTGCACGCAACTCAACTGGCATGGCTTGCATGATTGATGGAAGATCAATTAAGATGAGGATCAATGGACGGACACCGTCGATCGGTCTCCTGTTCTCCAGTCCAGGCTCCATCAAATTTATGGATAAGATGCATCTTTCAGTAATTGCGATTGTTCGATGGCTACGACCACTACTACTACCCATTTGCAATGGCTGGGATTAAACTGTACTAAAGGATATATATTATATATATTCCGATATAGTAGAGCATTTTCTTTTCCTTGGATGGATGAATAAACGGTGTTACGGTGGTGATCTTGATAACGAAGAAAGCATCATATCCATTTTACCTTCTCCAAATCTCTATCCGTATCGATTTCTCTCGCCTTTCTGTAAAGGCCAAATCAACGGTCGTTAATTTGGGCCTCTCCTCATCCAAATCAACGGTCGTGAAGGAAAGAAATTTTCTGTGGCTGCTGCTGCTATCAACAAACAATGTCACCCACAGTGCCACATGACCAACTCCCATAATTTTGCATAGATTGGCAATAAGCCATGGTTGTGTATCACTTTCAAAAATAGTAGGAACACTAACACCAAAAAATATTTGCGAAATCTCTTTGTCTATCCATGGATGAACACGTCAATGAAAAATAGGGTTTCAAGGTTCGCCACGATGCTAGAACGTGATTTGTATGTGTAAGGTAAAGGTGGCAACAGGAGTTGAAGTGGATGGTACTAGTGGTAGGCTGCTGGTGGCAATGCTTGGGTTGTCCTTGTCTAATTCTGTCCTGGGTTTTCTTTAGCTAATCAGTGTGTCCACTACTATCAAATACTACCACGGGTGGATAAACCTTCTTCTGTCCCGGTTTGCAATCCTCTATAGTCCCGGGTTATAAACTGGGACCCTGAATTCGGGACTAAATATGGTTATCTTTAGTTTTGAGCGAAATAATTAGGAAAAATGTGGTTTTCGGCCGACCCAGTAAAGATCAATTCTTCAGTAGTATACTACAAGAACCGTAATTTACATAAATAATTTAATTATTTCAAGGAAACAACTTTGAAACCACACAGATATATATCAATCATTAATTAATTAAACAAGCCATGCATGCATGCATTCTACTATATATATATTATTCCGATGCTGAAAAATTTCACCATCAGATTACTAATGAAACCGACAGGAGTACTACCAAGCATAAAAAAGAAAGTAGAGCATCCTGAAAATCCCTAATTATATAGTAGTATCTGTTGTGGCATCCTTGTCTGTTGTAGCATATCATAAAAGTTCTTTCCATTAATTAGGTAGGAGAAAGAGAGAAACAGAAGGCGCCTTGTTTGGACGTGTGGAATTAAAGCAGAGGCCAGCGGCAGAGAATGGAAGGTAGTAGTAGGAGTACTAGCAATTAGGACATGCATGCAAAGACATTTCTTCTTGCGTGTCATCGTCTTTCTCCTCAAAAAAACCATTCCGTTTCTTCCTTCCTTCCTCGGAATCGATCCCGGAAAGATCTACCGTACAGGCACATAATGACGCTAACACTTCACTAGAGGCTAAGAGCATGTACGAGAAAATAAACCTATAAACAAATATTGAAAAAATAAAAGAGAAAAAAAAAGAGTAGCGAGTTATAAATTTATAATTAGCTGTAGCACGGACTGTAAAACGCAATATGTATATGACAAGTGAGACTAGTGTAGTATATATTTATAGGTAACTATTGTATAAATTGACGAGTAAGTAGTTGGCTATACTATTAAACTTGCTCTAATATTAAACTTGCTCTAATAATAAAGATGCATGTGTGCTTAATTTGATTGTGTTCTATGCTGGAGAATGAGACTTAAATTATTCAAGAAAGAGCTTGTTTTGTTTTCGAATTGTGAGGGAGAAGTAGATCGGGATTTGGAAATTGGAATACAGGTCATGTGTAATTGGCAAGACATGCATGTGCCTGTTTGGACCCATTTTTTTTCAAACCTACATGACATATGTGTACTCCTTGTATACTTTGTCCTATGTAATGAGTGTGTCACTGGGGCTAGCTACTGTTGCATCACCAAAGTAGAGTAATCACACACGAGAGAAAGAACAGACAGAACAAAAGAGAACAAAAACACAAGAAGGATGTAGTAGAGAGAAGAGAGAAATGATCATGCTAGCTGCAACTGATATGGTGAATTAAGGAGTGGCTGCAGTTGATTAAAGAGCGGCAGTGTACTGGAATAATTGAGAAACTAATTTTGTAGGCGCATCATATATCAGTGTTCATGCACATGCTTGGATGGAAATCAATGGAGCAGTAGAGAGAGACTTACACGAAGGCGGAGGAGTAGGTCCACTTGGCCGTGACGGGCACCCGCAGCGGCGGCGCGAGCTCCTCCCCGGCGGCGATCTGGACGGTGGTGCTCTGCCGGTCGGCGGCCATCACCACAGCGGACGCCAGCGTCCCCAGCAGGACGAACACCCGCAGAACCACGCAGCACGGGTCCACCGGCGGCGCCCTGGAACCAGCGGCCAACGGCGGCAGCGCCGCGCCGGCGCCCGTGTAGTAGCCCCGGCGGCTGCTGTAGTCGAAGGCGGCGGCGCCGCCGCCGCTGCCGTTCAGGCCGGGCTTCCCCCGCGACGACTCCATTGCTGGCGCGCGGTGCGGTCAGCGGTTGCCGCGCTCCGCTGTGCGGGAGGCGCTCTTCTCCTTGGAATCGTGGGTAGGCGAGAGGAGCAGAGCGCGTGTGTAACTACTGGCTGGCTACGTACTACTGCTACCTGTGTGAGAGATGTAGGGTACGGTATTGTGGTGTAGATGTACACAAGATTTTGTTGTTGGGTGGGGTATTTATGGTACAGAGAGGTGGTATCACCTCCAAGGTATGGTTACCCTCACATGTGAGTACTATCATACCGATGCTCTTCTAGCGAGTATAATAAGCGATAGAAATGGATTTTCATCTCTTGAGGAGATGTCTCCTCGTTGTTTGTATGTCATCGAAATAGTTATAAAAAATTAAAAATTTAACAACATAGATTAATATGAAATATATCACTCCACAAATATGTAAGACCAAATTTAACTTTTGCGAGTTGCAACAAAAAGAACAAAATAAACTGAAAATAAACTGAAAATAGTTATCGTACATTCGCAGATATATTTGTTATTTTTATTATAACTTGTAGAAGTAAAATTTTAACTTGCATATTTGTGGAGTGATATATTTTATATTAATATATCTTACCATTTTGTTTCAAATTTTTTTATGACTATTTAGGTGGCATGTACGAAATGAGGGATTTCTCCTCGAGGGATGAAATCACTTTCCCATAAGTGAAGTAATTAGCGAACTTTAAAAACTATATCCATCAGATCTATGTTTAGATACAGGATAGAGGAGGGGGAAAAAGAAAAGCAAACTACAGATTTATAGCCAACTGCAACATGGGTTCCAAGACATCATGCGTGTATGAGAGTTGTGCCAGGTATTAATCGTATAGTATATATTTATATGCAAACTACTTAGTCCATAAGATTGGTTATTGGTTAAATCTTAGAGCTATTAATTGACTATACTATTTAACTTGCTCTTTCTTACCTTTGATGACTCCTGCGATCAAAGATGGTGTGGGATCTTGCGGCTGGCCAGGCTTGACGAGGGCGCTCATGCGGCGGCGGCGACCAGGGCTGGATGAGGACGTTTGTGCGGAGGACGTGAGAGACGGCGGCAGCCGAGCAGGATGAGGACAGGACTCCGATGGTCGCAATTGTCGATGAACACTAGTGAGGGTGGCATCCATGGCGGATGCAGGAGGCAGCCGAGTTTCTTTTCCATCTATGCCCCCACAACCTTAGGATGCGCCATACAACCAGGCGATAAATTAGTCGTTGGCTTGTTCCATGTCATTACAAAATCCTATAGGAAGTTGGTATCATCCATTATATATGTGCTCTAAGACGCTAACACCATTGGGTTTGGTTTGAACTGAAAGGTATGAGGTCTCAAATCAAACATGTTCATGCTCTGGCCAAGCCTAACCCAACCCATTGTTATCCCTGATGACTACTATAATTTAGATAACAAATCACCAACAAATTAAATTGTAATGGTGTTTAGCATTACATTTGTTTATATTTGGAGAAAAAATACATTTTTTTTAGCAAAGCACTAAAGTGAATTACTCAAACTAACACAAACTAGATTCTGATTGGAGTGTTAAGTATGCATGTGATGTGTTGATTTAATGAGTTCGGGTGTCATGCCTAATAAGCGTGCACATGGTGTGGAGAATGAATGCAATTACCTTCATGCATAATTTGCGTGCAGCATGATTGGGATATCTTCATTATTATTAAAAAAATCCACAAATGAATCATAATTTGCTGGCATTATATATTTTAATTACTTCTATTAATTATGCTGTCATTGTGAACTAAATTCTACAAAAGATGTAGAGATTAAATCGATGTTACATAAAGCAAGCAAACATGCGTCCATGGAGGTTCTAGAGCCTAGATGCACCAACATGAAATAAATCTAAACCTGTCTTTTCGTGATCCTTCCGATATATACACTCCTTTGTCCCCCAGTTCCATGCCTTGCCGGCCTCCTCACACTTGATTGTGTGCCCCCGCTTTTAAAAAAACTCGTACAAATATAGTGCGACTCCTCTTTGTCTGTCCATGACGCTGAACCTTCTACTGATATGACGGTGTGGCTGATTGGATTGAATCCGTTCTGCTCCCGCACCACCCCCTCCTCTGTTTCGGCCATTTTCTAGTGCCACTTGGTAAGGAACTTGTATCATATATTCATATGATTGGAGTATATGAGGTTGATTGTCTAGTTTGACGCATCTTCTGTTAGAATTGATTATATTTTAGAACGGGGAAAATGATGATAAATCCTCTCTCCCACCACTTAGACGATTTGATGGCATGTTAATTGGAAGTACTTCATAAATATTTATTATTATTTTTGATAATGGAATAAAATGTATACTTATTATGCTTGATTATTAATTTATTATAGCGAGAAAAATAATAGAGATTAGTATATTTATGAATTATATATATGCTTTCATTAAAATAAACCCGGTGATCATAAAGATTGTTGTAAGATCTTATACAACATGCTTTGCTTAACACACCCTCCTCTTTTATTCAATTCTAACAAGTACTCCATCCGTCCTAAAATATAACAATTTTTAGCACTCAGGATTTGTCCTAAAATATAACGATTTCTCCACCAACATTCCCTTCCCAACCAATCACAACTCTCCACCATTCACTTTTCCCACCTACCTCCACTTCTCAACCAATCACAACCTCTTTCTATTCAATTATACCTACTTTCTTAATAACCGTATCCAACTCTAAACCTTCTTATATTATAGGACAGAGATAGTATGTAATTAACATAAAAGCATCTCTAAGGAAGTGGCTATTTTTGACTCTCCAAATGTCCTATTTGGCAACTTACCAAAAATTTAGAGAGCCAAGTACGTTTTACTCCAACAACATGTCCATTACACTCTCCAATTTAATAGTGGGTCCCATATGTCAGTCTCTGTGTTGTTCTTCACCCACCTCTCTCCTCCTCTCTTCTCTGCAGTGCGGCACGGCTATGGAGGTGGCGCCGGCAGGAGTAGCGCGAGCGACGGAGGACGACGGGAGCTACACAGGTGGCGGAGGACAATGGGAGCGGCACAGGCAGCGAAGGCCGGTGGGAGCGATGACTATGGCGACGTCGAATCCATGCGCGCGAGGCGACGACAATGGCAGATCCGTTCCTTGCTAGCCTCGTCTTCCTCGACAGCCATCCGCCATATAGCCTCCCTCCTTCCCTTGCTACTCCCTCGCCGTCGCGCCCTCCCTCCCTCACCGTTGCGCCGCCGCCTCCGCTCCGCTCGTTGCACTGGTCGGCCGGCGGTTGACCCGCGGCGGTGGATAACGACGAGGCAGCGGACGGCGGAGGATGCGAGTGAGCAGCGATGGAGGCGCTTGACCCGGCGACGATGGCGAGCACGGGCAGAGGATGCAAGCGAGCGACGGTGGATAACGACAAGGCAGTGGACGGCGGCGGCCTCGGCAGCGGTCGACGGCGTGGCGGACAAGGGGCAGCGCTGACGTGGTCAATCTAGGAGGAGGGGGATGTTGCTCCCGGAGGGAGAGAGAATATGAGACGGGAGGAAAGAGGGAGAGGGGAAAAGGCGTGGGGCCCACGATTGGCTAGGCAATTTTAGCTGGCTAAAGTTGGCCAGTGCGAGGAGGAGTTTGGCCAGCTGGATAGCCATGCTAGTCTGCTGGAGTGTGTTTTTATCCGAAATTACTAAGTTTTAATTTAGAGGAGATAGAGAGGCGGTTGGAGATGCTCCGCTCTTCTCCTCCACCTCCTGATCTCCATTCTCCAGTGCCTCCGTCGCACATCGTCTCACATCTCTGCCCTTGTGTTTGATCGCGCCGTCGGTGTGCCACGTGGGAATCGAAGAAGGATAACACCATCGATCGGCGGGCGTCCAGTGTCGTGCCAAACGGCTGACGTGTGTAGCATTATCTTAACATACTTATTAATTTCAGGGTGCGACGATGAAGTACGGGACGTACGACGGCCGCGCGGCGCCGAACACGGACACACGCGTACGTACGTGCGTACAACGTGCAACAACCACGCGATCAAACACGTACGCACGCGGCGGCGCGATAGGAAGCTCCTCGTATAACATCAGATCGAGCCATCCAGCGCGGGGGTGACCAACTATCACCGCCCGCAAAACGGCGGGTCGGCATCGGCATGGGCAGCATCCGGTGAGGCCCGTGCACATTACGAAAATATACCGTTAGGAATTACTTCATCCGTTTTAGAACTTTTTAGTATTGTCTATATTTATATTGTTAATAAATCTAAACACACAAGAACTTTTTAGTATTGTCCATATTTGTATTGTTAATAAATCTAAACACACATATATATGTTTAAATTCATTAACATATATATGAATATGGGCAATGCTAGAAAGTCTTATAATATGAAACGAAAAAAGTATATATGTGCAGTAAAAATCTAAAAACTATTGTTGTATTAAAAAAATGAACGTCTGATATTCGTCCATATTATCATGAGTAAAATTTTTACTCGTAAATTTACTTATGATAAAAATTTTACTCATGGTGACATGAACGAGTCTCTGACGTCTATTTTTCGATTTAAGGGTAGTTTTCAGGTTTTCAATATATATATGGTTTGCCCCACATATTTTCATGTGCACATAAGCACAAGGAAAAAGTACGAATGACCTTGTGCATGTAAACCTAAAAATATCGTGGTCGATCGAATTAACCCCCCAAACTCGAAAAAACCAAACATTTTAATTCTCAACTCTTCAATCTGGATGAATTACACCCTCCAGCACTATTTTGAATGGTTTTTGGCTAGGCTGCCTGATGTGGCATTTTGAACGTGGAAAAAAATATTTCTAAAATAATGGGTCCACCTATCAGTGCTCCATATCTCATGTGTTCTTCTCTTCTACCTCCCCATCTATCCCTAGCGTGGGCATCGACGCCACCGACAAGCCCTCTCGCCACCTCTGCCACCAGCCTCTCCATCGCCGGTGCCGGCAGCCACATTAGCACCTCGACGCCCTCCTTGGAGCAGCACACACCAAGGACATTTAGGTACGTCTTCTTCCGCTTCCTCCCTCCGCCGCCGTCGCCTTTGTCCCCACACCTCTTTGACTTGGGCAGCGACAGTCTTGCCTTGAGCCCTTCCGCCTCATCCTTTCTAGCCATCGCCGATTCAAGAGAACCAAATGGGGATCAAGAAGAGGTGATCTGGATTTGCTGCAAGGAGGATGAGGACGTGGCGGTGTCGTCGACGATAGCGACGATGGCACCAAAAGATTTGTGATTTTGTAATCGACGGGCAGCTAATCCGGCAAGGTTGTGTTTGTCAATGAGGATCTCGAGCTCTCTCAGGGTGGCGGCAGAGGCTCGAGACGTGCATCTAGTGGTGATGGGCGGACGCGGAGCTAGGGGTGCGATTGGTGGTGATGGGTGGACACAGAGCTCGAGGTGCTGGTGGTGGATCTGGCTGCAACAGAGGGAGAAGGGGCAGATCCCGTTGTCGGCGCCATGAGACTCCAGCTTAACGGTAGCCGCTGTCGCTGTCGGTCATCAGCTTAGCTTGTATGGTTGCCTCCACACTGCCGACCCCGACGACTAGGATGACAGAGTGTTCGCCGCCTCCACCATGTCAGCAAGAAAAGCAGATAAGGGGAGGGGAAAAATTGCAGCATTGACAACTGGGCTCCACTGATTTGTTTTTTGTTTTTGCTGGCTAGGCTGCCATGTGTATTGTCTGCATTCCATCAATTTTGGTCTGAAATTTATTTAAAGATTCAAATTTCAGTTGTCAAATTTGTGATCAAATAATTCTACCATCTTTGTTTATTTTGCAAATAAGTGTTTTTTTTTGCATTGAGAATTTTGTTGTCCCAAATAGGCTAGCATATAAGTATGAGATAAGGGCAACATAGGCTCAGTTTGAAAGTTCGTTTAGCTTTTGCAATTCTATCATTTGTCGTGATCTCATTTTCTAAATTGTTAAACGGTGTGTGTTTGCAAAACCTTTTTACATACAAGTTTATTTAAAACAATACTCATTTTTCAATTTTATATTTGTTAATATTTAATTAATCATTCACTAATAACCTCCTGTCTTGTTTCGTGTGGAACATATCAGTTTACCCCAAATATAGGTTGGAACGCAGCCATAATCATTTTGAAGGAAAATTACACTTCAATATATTAGTACAAGTCAACTCACGATCAAAACTATTTGGACGAGGCAAAATTTATGTGTATAGCAAGGTTTGAGGGAAAATTTATGGGCTAATGTTCTAAAAAAAGAACTAAGCCGAAGTTGCCTAACACGTTTGAAAACGATACTAGTGGTGATATCCGTACCACTAAAATATCTCTAACTAGCGCTTGTCTAAATTTAGAGTTAAAATATCTTTATATTTTATATTTCAAGATGAATGTAGCATTATTCTAGTACTCCATACAACATAACCTCTCCATCCCATAAAAAAAATTAAATTTAAAAATATACTGTTCATCCAAGTTTTTTTTAAAATACCACCCGCGACGTCACGCCCACGTCATTTTCGTGCAATGGTTGTACGAAATCGACGGTATATTTTTGGAAAAATTGTGCATCCCAAATATCCTAGAAATTTTTTCAATGAACAGTATTTTTAAAAATTTAATTCCAAATATGACACATCCTAATAATATAATAATATGAGACGATTACAAGTCACAAATCGTATTATTATTATTATATTTTTTTAATGGAAGGAGCGATGCACAATCTAAACACATCGCAAGTCAAACAGAAAAAAAAGGATAAATGAATTACCATGAACGGTTGTTTGGAAAAAAAAAGCAGCCCAAATGCGACCTGGGCCTCATACTTCATCGATCCCCTCCCGACTTCCCTCGACAAGAAAATTGTGATTTTGCTATCGCAAAAGAATGATTTCGCTGGAATACTATTCTTTCAAAGTGATTAAATGCTATTTTGGGTCTTTTGGTTAGAAATGATTTTGCTCTATTTTAATTTTTGTTTTGACCAAAATACCCTTGTCTCTTTTACCTGTTTGACCAGATCGAATCGATCTCATCCAGCCTCTTCGGCTCGAGGAGGGAAGCCTCGCCGCCGTCGCCCATGGTGGCCTACGCGCGGCGCCGCCGGCGCCACACCTGGCTATAGGCGGGCTGAAGAGGGATGCGCTCTGCCGGCTAGACGCCACGGCCGAGCACAAGCAGGACGAGAGTGGCCTGCCGTGCCGCTGCAGCAGGGGCGGACGGCAACGTCGGCGAAGATCGAGGGCACCCGCCGCCGCATGAGCGACTCTCTTCCACGCCCTGCCGAGAAGCCTCGCCGCCGTCGGAGCCCACGTCTATTGCTCCCATGGTGGTGCTGTGCCTGCGTGCGGCGGCGGCGTCGCCGCTGCAAACATCACGCCGGCGCCCCCGCATCGGCTCCGGCTCTGGTGCCGGCGCCTGCCTCCGCCGCTCCCCCACCTGCGTCCCGATGCCGACGTCCCTGCTGGAGGAAGGCGCCAATCGCGTGCGCCGTGGAGGTGGCCGGCGGTGGCGTAGACGCTGGCTTGTTGGAGCGAGCACCGCATCGGGATAGTAGGGGAGGAAGAGGGGAAAGAGAGAGGAGGGAGTATGACAGGTGGGACCACGTCGAGGGTATTTTGGTTAGACAAAAATTAAAATAGAGCAAAATCGTTTCTAATAACCAAAAAACGTATTTCAGTGAATACCCCTTAGTTTAGGATAGCATTTTAATGAATCACTTTGAAGATAGTATTCCAGCAAAACCATTCTTTTGCGATAGCAAAATCACAATTTTCTCTCCCTCGACGGCGCCGCTTCCCAACGTCCAATGGCGAGCAGCCGGCTCTCGATCCGGCGGGTGTAGTCTCCGCGGCGTCGGCGACGGCAGCGGGAAGCTTCAGCTTCGGCCAGATCGACGGCACCCTCGCCGCCGGTCTCCGATGGGACCAGGTATGCCCGCCTCTACTCCTAGGTCTGTCCGTGCGCCGCGCTTCGGTGCCGATCGATCCCAGTAACTCGTTTTATCCCACATCGCCGATTCTGATCAAGCGCGACCTCTTTATAAGGTCAGTTCGACTCTACTTCATCGCCTCACCAGGGGCACCCGCCCCGACTGAATACAGCGAAAATTATCGCCCCTGTGTGCATCGGCTGGGCATGTTTGTTTATATACCCCCTTCCGGTTAATAGCTGTAAAAAGAAGAAAAAAAAGGAGCAGTGAAAAGATTCAATACGGCAACGATAAGGTTGTGTCAGTCGGTCCTCTGGTTGGAGGCAGCGCTAGACACTAGCGCCTTAGCTTTTTTAAAATTTGGATTTTTTTTTTCTGTTGCATCCTTTTTTAGTCTGTCTTAAGCCAAGAGAAGCTTAAATAAAGTCTTAAAACATTAAGATGGAGTAGGAGAGGAATTGCATACAGCTGTTTCGATATGCCCTTACTGCTAGCAGTTTCGCCTTAAGATGCAAAACTTCTATACATTGCTGTTTTGATATGCCCTTACTACTAGCAGTTTCGCCTTAAGACGCAAAACTTCTAACCGACTGAATTTCCATGTTTCGACTGGATGCCGGTCAGAGATGACTTGGCAGATGAATAATTTTGGATTCGTACTCTGCAGATACGATGGTTAGCATAGTATTAGTAGTGCCTTGTCATTTATTCACTGAATTTTGGCTTATATGCAGTTCTATTTTTAATAGTAAATTTCTCTGTAAAATTTGCATTTATATCTGAATTAATTTACGCTGCAGGACTATGGCAGTAAAGATTTGGCTGGAACATCCAATATTTTCAGCCAATTGTCTGAAGATGTGATTACCAAGGATGCAAATAACTAGCAACAAGAGCAGGTATGTGCAGAGTTGCAGACAACCGCTGAGACTCAACCGAATTCATCCAGGCATAGAAACGGAAAAATAGACCATAGCAGCAATAGTTCTGATCAGGTAGATGAAGAATCCAACATTTTGAAGAGTCTTTTATGTTGCTCAGGGATTCATGTAAGTAATAATTTCTGATCCTTAAGTCAAATGATTTTTTTTCCTTAATTTTTGTTTGTAAAAATGACTGTCCTTTTTTTAATTTTCTCAGAGTACATAAATATGCTGAAGGAAATAGCATTGTCGCAAAGAGATGCAAAAGGTGAAACATGGGTGCTGAAGAATAACTGCCAGTAATTTTAGCTGAAGCTGACCGTAGCAAAGTTTTGGTTAGTGTAGCGAACTGCAAACATTAATTTCATTCAGATGAGACATGCAAATTTGATTGAGAGGAAATGTCTCCCATGTCTTCTTAAAACCTTGTGGAATGGCTAGCTGGTTCTTTTTGTAGGAAGGACAAATCTGAAACAAGAAGATGTAGGTGACAGGTACATACTCGAATACAAACATTTGGTATTGACTGGAGGACTGAAACATTTTGTTCTTTCCCAGCTTTCAATGCCATACAGTATTGAAGCATGTCCTGGTAATACTTCCTTCAAATTCGTTCTTTTCTCATTTGTCAGGTTGCGAGCTCCAACAAATTTGGTGCAAAGTTTGTTATGGGAACCTGGTATGGAGTGTACACGGGAAAAAGGTATATCAACAGAATGATTAACTGATCATGCTTAATTTGCTGAGACCTTTTACAGTGTTTGCATTTCTAAAATAGTATAGATCTAACGGCTCACGATGAAAGGTGCCTTATGAAAGGTATCAGAGGTAGAAAGGTACTAAGGATTAAAAGGTAATTGATAACAGGGCAATTATGTCTAACAACGTATGGACGTACCGAAAGGTACGGTGTAAGTGGATTTGAAGGTACCACAAGGTACCGTGTAAGTAGTTTTTAAAGGTAACGTAAAATATGATTTATGTGGTGGGGACAAAAATTACATTCTCTTCTATTCGGTTTCCAATCTTCAGTCGTTCTGTTTGCGTCGGTTTCCAAACTTTGGTCCGATTCACGTGGTACATATCATATTCGCATGATCTTGATAATTATTTCCAGTTAGTCATTAATTTTCATAGCAATTTGGTGATCCATCGTTTGATGAATGTAATCAAAGATCGAAAGGACAACAAATTGAGAAGATTTACGCACCTAACAAGAACAAAACAAGTTCAATGAGGAAGATTTGCGAAAAAAACTAAACCAATCGTCTGACAGATCGAGACCATGCGGCCGCTTCTAGCTCCGGCGAACATAGGCAGTCCTGGACCACTTCCTCCGGGTCCTCTTCCTCCGCCGCCCCTCCCTCCAACCACCGCCTCCGGCCACACGTTCACCGCCAGCCCTCAATTCTCCACCTTTCAACTTATCGAAGAACACGTAAACCTTACGTACGAATAGAACGTATCTAAGAACGATGCAACGCAACAGGCTACAAGCTAATTCCATCGATACCTTCTCATACCTTTTCATATGTGTAAAAGACACATTTGTCATTCTAATATCATCATATTTACATTAATGCCACCTATTACAATATTTTCTTTCCATACCTTGCCCCTCGCAGATCAACGGCTCACGTCGCCCCACCTCCTTGTACCTCGCAAACATCGTAAAATCCCTCTAATTTGTTATTTTCTTTGAGATAGCAAGAAGTAACTGAACTCACTACTTGAATTTGATATTAGGCAAACATTATCTGACTAGTACCAGCATTTTAATTTCTTTTTTCTGATTGCCCATGCGGGAACTTATTATTCACTTTTGATGTTTCAACCATTTTGTACAGTTTGTCCCTGCCTACATAATTCCTCTCCATGTTTATCTAAAAATGGAAAAAGTATTCGCCATGTTTATATTTTACAGCTTTCTAATATTATGGTCTGCCTTCACATGTAGCATCAATTCTATAGCAAACATTTTGCTCTGCACTTCAATCAGTTGGGCTTGAATTTCTCTCATAAATCGATTATGTAATGGTTATGAATTGCACTTCAAATTACATGCAGTACCTGTCCAGGTCGTTGGTTATTTGCCTCCATAAATCGATCCTTCGTATTTTTTTGCCTCAGGTCTCTGCTCTTATATAGAAGTAGTGAATTTTTAATTCCCATATACTACGCTATCCTTCTTCGAACATCAGTGCTAGGTATTTGTCAACTACTGCTAAATATGTGGTAAACATTGTTTACTAATTGCTATCCTGATGGTTTTTCTCATGGAAATATAGCTGGACTTGGTTGTTTACCGTATACGAGGAGAACCATTTGGATTGAGGCAAGGTGATCCATTATCACCATATTTGTTGCTCTGTGCTGAAGGCTTTTCTGCTATATTACTGAAGGCAAAGAATGAAGAAAGAGTTGGTGGGGTTAAAATTTGCCAAGGAGCACCATGCATCTCTCACCTGCTGTTGCCGATGATTCTTTAATTGTGATTCGTGCAAACGGGAAGGATGCAACACAATTGCAAGGAACTCCCCAATTATATGAGCTGCCTTCAGGGCAAATGATAAATAACGACGAGTCGGCTGTAATTTTTAGCAAGAACACTAGGGATCAGAAGAGAAGTGAGGTGATGCAAATGTTGCACATAACAAAGGAAACACAAAATGAGAAATATCTGGGGCTTCCAATGTAGATTAGAAAATCTAGAGCTGAAGCTCTTGAGTATCTAAAAGATAAGACTGGCAAACAATTCACAGGTGAAGGAGATTATGATCAAAGCTGCACAAGCTATCCCTATCTACGCCATGGCATATTTTGATTTAACAAAGGGCTTATGTGACCAGATAAGCACTCTCATTTGTAGGTATTGGTGGATCCAGCAAGAGAAGGAGAAAAAACGCATTGGATCAGTTGGGATAATCTGAAAAAGTCAAAGAAGCAAGATGGGCTGGGTTTCAGAGACATTTATGCTAGGATCCTTAAAGCAAGATCCAGGCTCTGTGTGCTAGGATCCTTAAAGCAAGGTATTTCCCTACTGCTGATATCCTATCTGCCCATCTGATCGGGAATATGTCATACACATAGCGAAGTATTGTAAAAGGTGTTGAGCTGCTGAAAGAGGGCATTATTTGGAGAGTTGGGAATGGCTAAAGCATCAATATTTGCAATGATGATCCATGGTTACTAATAAGAGGAATTACGAGACCAGTCACACACCTAAGGGACACAATTTGATCCGGACATTTTCTGTAATCCTCAAATCTGAAGCGGCGTGGGATGCATATTGATACTAGATGCCATGTTTGCAGGAGGCTTGATGAGGATCAGGGACACCTCTTTTTCAAATGTAAGTATGTTAAATATATCTGGAGAGAGCTGGGATTAGAAATAACAAGAAACATGTTTGCAGAGATGTAATCTGTCCATGAGTTAGTTGAAAAGATTACTGATCTAAACTATCGTATGCAGCTTCAGGTTCTCTCTCCCCTAAAATCCTAAATAATCGGTGGCATGAACGAAATGGAATACAACGAAAGAAAAAAAAATATTTCTACAGAGGGCGCTAGGGGTGTACATAGCGCTTGGCTTTTAAAAAAATTGTGAGATGAAATTCTTTTTTTTTTCCGGTTGCATTAAGGTCCCGTTCTTTTTATTCAATAAGAGTTAGATGAAGATTAAGATTTTCGTGGCACACTTTTCAAACTGCTAAACGGTGCGTTTCGTGCAAAAACTTTCTATATGAAAATTGCTCTAAAATATCATATTAATCTATTTTTCAAGTTTGTAATAATTACAACTCAATCAATCATACGTTAATACTACTTTGTTTTGCAAAATAAACTTAATCTTTATCTTTAGGAGATTCAAACACCATCTAACTGGTTACTCCACCAATTCCAAATTTGTAAGATGGAGTTATTTTCTTCTTAAACTCGTTGGCTAATCCTAATCCACCGGTTCAAATTTCCTTTGGATAAAAATATGTTGATGAATTTTTTGTTGTTGAACTCATTGGTTATTAATCTACCAATTCCAAATTTCCTTTGGATAACTAGTTCAAGCACTCCATGATACTCACATTCAACATACTCTGATACTCGTGCACATGATATAAAAGCAATAAAGCTCACTACTTATCATAAGTCAATATTATAGCTAACATGTATAATATGTTATGTTAGCTACAAGGTTAGTTTTATCTTTGTCATCCTCTCTCGTTCTCTCACTATGAATTTAATGCATATTTCTTGCAGCTTGTGTTGAGCTAACTCGTGCATGAGAGCCAACACTCTCTACTTCTCTTTACCTGTCTCTTTCACATAAGCATATAGTTTGTTTATAGCTACTATTATTATCCTTGCTCTAAGACTGTAAGAGCAGATACATTGCTGTGTTGCTAACCTTCTGCCAGCAATTTCGCTGTGAAGATGCCAAATTTTCTAACCACCTTGCCGAGTTTCGATTGGATGCTAGTGACAGATGATCTGGCAGATGAATGGTTTGGATCATACCCAAATGTAAAGTACCCCTCCGTATTTTAGTGTATGACACCGTTAACTTTTTATAAATATTTGACTATTTTTCTTATTCAAAAAATTTATGTTATTATAATTTATTTTATTGTGACTTGATTTATCATGAAATATTCTTTAAGTATGGCATAAATAATTTTATATTTGCACAAAAATTTTGAATAAAACGAATGGTCAAACGTTGGTTAAAAAATTAACGGCATCATACATTAAAATATAAAGTGAGCAGTAATTTTCTCTGCAAATTTTCATTTGTAGTATCTAATAACGATACCAGATTAAATCATCTGTTGAGTAGGCTAGGGAATGCGCATGGAAAACTAGGGAAATTAGAGGTGTACCGATAGAGGAGAAACATAGTACTGAAAGACCCTATTTTTAAGCCAGAAACGTAAAAGGATTTCTTAACGCTGCAAGAAGATGGAAATAATGATTGAACTAAAACATCGAATATTCTCAACCAATTGTCTGAACATGCGAATGCCGGGGTTCAATATGAACCGAGCTCATCCATTCATAGACGAAGGATCCAACATTTTGACGATCCTTTTTGATGGTCAGGCAATTCATGGAATCAAAACAATATATGATCTCTAAGGCAAATAATTTGCCTCGGTTTTTATTGCTCAAAATGATGTCCTTTTCTTTTTTCTGATTATCTCGGTGTGATCAATCATGTTGCCATAGTGAATGCTACGATGAACATAAGCTGCAGCTAGAAGCAGAAGCTTGGCGCCAATCACGGATGCTCAGAAATCATGGTAGTTTTTCTGTTGCTACATGGACCGCAAGACCTTGTGCTGCTGTGAGGCACCTACCATCCTCTGTGTTCTTGAACTTGATGGGTTCTCTTGGAGAAGTTAGAACCACTCTCCTACACACGCAAAACAGAACAATGAACTAATGCTTGATTAGTTAACCACTCTCTTTATCTCAAAATGATCATCATATATATTTATACACTAAGACCAAGAAAATCACATTAATCAAGACACCATGCACACATCCTCCCACAATACATGTATCGATTAAAACATCATGTCAATTACACCGTAGCGTGCACACACTTCTCCCATATTGTATTAATTGTATTCCGATGAAATCCATGTTAATGCGGTTATATGATGTTCAATTTGAGAAGTTTTGGATTCCATTATATGATGATCAATTTGGTGAGGGAGTATTAGCTATCAGAAACTCAAAAAATGGATTAATATGATTTTTTTAAACAATTTCCCTATATTTTTTTTTGCAAAAAAAAGACGTTTAGCAATTTGGGAAATTTGTGCATAGAAAACGAGAAAGTGAGTTGGAAACTTAGGTTGAAGTCAACACTCAATAGCCTGATGCAGAGGCATGTTCAGATTACTGCCAAAATAAACCTTATTGCCAAATTTTTAGCAAGTTGACAGTATTGCCAAATTTTAGTAGAAGAGAATAAATATGTTGTGCCAAAATTTCCTATGCATTACTAATATTTGATAACTAACTAAATGCAACTATATATTTGTTTATTTTATTAAATAATGGTATGGTTTAAAATGATACCAATCTAAATAGACCCTTCTTAGCCACCAGAAACTTCAAACAGGGAAGGGCCAAAGTCTTCAAACGGGTACTCTATAAATGGCAAACTCTGTTGTCCTCTGCCAAACTTTTGGGCAGGATACATGGCTGCGTGAACAAATCAATATCCTTGGCTTACTTATTTCAACTTGTAACCGCTATAAAACCAAACAACCGCATTACCAATTTGAGCACAAACAAAAATCCTTTAGAAAAAAAGAAAAAGAAAAGAAAAACAGGCGTGGACTGGGCCTGCAGCAGCTTGGGCTCGATGCCCAGGCCTGAAGAGAGAAGCCTAGCCCGTATAGGGCTTGCATCGACACTTGAGTCGATGGGAACCCTCGATCTCCCCCCTCACCTTGTTGCTTCCTCTCCTCCCCCGACGCCGCCGATTCCCCAATTCTGGCTCCGGCAGCGAGCAGCTGGCTGCGGACGCGCCGTCAAAACTCCAGGAGGATCTGGATCTCCGATGTACTCTCCGCGGCATGCCGGCATCGGCGGCGCGAAGATTCAGCACCGGCTTAGATCGACGGCGCCCTTCGCCGCCGGCTTCCGTGGAGACCAGGTATGCTTCTGCCTCTACTCCTAGGTCGATATGCGCGCTGTTCTTTGGCTCGGACTGAATCCATCCGGCAATTAGTTTTGTACCATATCGCCGATTCTGAGACAACACGACCTGTTTATTAGCTCGATTTGATTCTATTCCATCGCCACCCTAGAGGCACCCACCCCGACTGCAATGGGCAGCGGTAGGGCCGTGTACCCGCCTACCGTTCAGCCGCAAAAAAAAAAGAGCAGTGTAAAGATCCCCTATACGGGGCACGGCAGGGGACCCCCTGCCGGCCAGCTGCAAAAAAAAAAAAAGAGGAGCAGTGAAAAGATCCCCCTACTTACGGGGGCACGGCAGGCGACCCCCTGCCGGTCAGCTGCATCCATAAAAAAAAAAGAAGTAAAGATGCCCTAGAGGCACACAGTCGGGTCTCTCGGTTGGAGGCAGCGCTAGACATTAGCGCTTTGCTTTTTTGAAATTTGTAGATTAGATTTTTTTTCCCTGTTGACATTGCTACTCATGGGATAATTCAACCAATTGCAAAATAGTTCGATTACTCCGTAACACTCCTCCATACAACATACTCCATGCACACAATAATCAGAAAACCGTGTCTTAAGCAGAGACAAGCTTAATGTCTTAAAACATTATTATATGATGGGAGAGGAGATGTGATAGTATATAGACTGATCATCCAATAATTTCAGTAAATGTTTGACTGAAACATCCAATATTTTCAGCCAATTATCTTAAACATTAAGATAGGGTTGGAGAGGAGATACATTGCTGTTTTGATATTCCCTTACTGCTAGGCTAGCATAGTAATGCTTTGTCATTTATTCACTGAATTTTGGCTTATATGTAGTTTTATTTTCAACAGTAATTCTCTACAAAATTAGCATTTTACAGGAAAACAAATGAGAAAGTAGTCCCCGTGAATAGATCTAATGTATTTCATAACCATATTGTAGCTCGCACAAGCATTATCAAACAAAAACAAAAAGGCATACAACACAAGAAGCATTCAACAAAAAAGCATACGCAGACTATTGGCCGAGAAAGAGTTCTAGAAACCTAGTGGTGGCATCCCACAGCCGCTTGGGTCGGTTCTGGTACAACAAAATGGGTAGTTGACACAACTACTCACTAAACTTAAAAATTTAGCAGAGGTGAAATTTTTTTTAAAGCCAAAGATGTGAAGGATTTGTTCGAACTGCAAGACGATGACAATAATGATTGAACTGAAACATCAAATATTTTCAGCCAATTGTCTGAAGATGTCAATATCGGGATTCCAAATGAAGCAATAAGATCAGCCATGTGCAGCTTTGGCTGCGCCGACAACCTCTGAGACTGAGCTGAGCTCTTCTAGGCATGGATGAAGTATCCAACATTTTGAAGAGTCTTTTTTGTGCTCAGGGCATTCATGTAAGAAAATAAATTATGATCTCTAACACGAATAATTTGGGTCAATTTTTGTTTCTGAAAAGAATACCTTTTTTCTACTTTTCTCAGAGTGCAATCAATCATGAGGACATAATGCATGCTAACGATTACCAGAAGCTGCGCCTAGAAGAAGCAGAAGCTTCACAGGCGGCATAAAGGGAAGCTGAAGCTTTAAGGTTTTATGCCTATCATGGATACTTAGAAGTTGTAACAATTTTTCTGTTGCTACATGGACTGGATCATTGGACGAGCTGGTGCAGTGGTGCTGTGGGAACACCGTTCTGTTTTCAGATGGGTGCTCTAAATGGCAAAGCAACTGTCCCCTGCTGAACTGTTTTAAGAACTACTAGGAAGATACTTGTTCATCCTGAAGTCCTGATCTGCCAATCTACACCTTCATACAACTGCATGGTGGTTCAGTCAGCTCAATGAGCGTAACTGAACATTTGAAGAGCTTTTTGTTTTTTTAACAAGAACCACAATCTATCCATAATCCATGGATATGCTGCTGTTTGAGAACCTGCTGTCATATTGGCTGAAAACCGTTCCGGATTAAGTAAAGGGGGTGATTCGTCCGGATTTACAAGTTCAGATTATCAAATGTCTGGTATTAGAGTTTAAGGGGGTAATTTAGATAACCACAATAGGGGGGGTAAGCAAACACAATAGCATGTACACGTAATTAACTACTACTAGAGTACTTTCTTTATCTAAAATATACTTACCCCCTCCTTAAAAAATAAGTGATTTTAGACGGATGAAACACTTCCTAGTGCTACGAATCTGGACACACTTATATTTTGGGAGGGAGTAATTACCTGAAATTTGATGAGACATATCTTAATCAAAAATCGGAGTATATGTTTCATTGAATCCTAGTTACCGAGGTGTATGGATGCGATCGACCGGTGGACGACATGATTTTACGTACGGGATAAGCAGCCTCGCGTATCGCGGCGGTACGAACGGAGGCCATCATCCCCATCTTGCAACTTTGCAAGACGAGCAAATATTTAACGGCCAACCACCATCTTTTGGAATTTAATTAACTTACTAAATGGGCCGGAGCATCAATTATATGCGGAATAAGTTCATTTTACGTCCCTCATCTATGGATCATTTTACGTCCCTTGACCAGGTATTTCGTATCTCTTCCAACTGGTAAAACCAGTGTAAATCAACCTCTTCAATAGTTTTGAGATCAGTTTTGGCTCATGTGGTTGCATATGTGGCAGGTTAACTTGGTTTTTATTTCGACATGGCACTCACCTGGCATCACAATAAGAAAATAAAAATTAGAATTTAAAAAGATGGATCCACATGTAAGTCTTAAAAAACATACTCGCTCCATTTCATATTATAAGTTGTTTGACATTTTTCTAGTTAAAAGTCCTTAAATTTGATCAAGTTTGTTAAAAATAATAACATTTTTAATACAAAATAAATATATTATCAAAATATATTCAATATTAAATTTAATGAAACTAATTTATTGTAGATGTTGCTATTTTTTTTATAAATTAGTCAAAATTTTGACTTAATATGAAACGGAGGAGAAGGACCGATGTGGCAGCGCATCTCTTCTCTACTATTATAAAAATTGAAGATGTTTTTACCGATACTTTGGTACGTCATCCGTATATGAGTCGGTATTTAAGTTCGTCCGCTTTTGGAAATACAGGTCCCTATTTAAGTCGGGTTTTAAATTAGTTCGCTTTTGGAAATACAGGAGGAGTCGTATAAGAAATCTCTTTGAAAAAGGATTTGCTATAATTCTGGTGACATAATTATCACCAGATTACAGTCGATTATCACCAGGTGACATAATTCTGGTGCCGCTAACGTAGTTCTCCTATGCGCCATGCCCTTTTTTTTTTTTGCGGGGAAATGCGCCATGCCCATTGAACATTGCACAACATACATTCATCATATTTGTTTAGGCAAACAGCAACATGTATCACCATTTAATTACCCATCAACATGAATTCATCATATTTATTTAGGCAAACAGCGACATGTATGACCATTTAATTACCCATCGTGTTAGGCAAAGAAAAGAGTTACTCCTATATATATATATATATATATATATATATATATATATATATATATATATATATATATATATATATATATAGTAAATTTGTTTGGTGCTCCATGGTGCCCGGGCACCATTGTTGAAATTGAGTATATACCCAATTCAAATGAGTATGAAACTTTTTCAATTACTTAGGTATTAACATTAACTACTTTACTAACTAGTTTAAAGCAAGTTTGAACTGAATTTGAACTTGTTTTTGTTAGATTTTGATTCTAGGTATATAGCATCCATACATATAATTAGTTAGGTATGTAATCATGGATTGTGAAATAAAGTTAAATTTGAGTTTTTTTGTTGATAAGTATAGGTATGAATCAAATTATTATAACTAGGTATATACTCACAATTTGAAAATTTTGAAAAATTTGAGTAATTTTGTGCATTAGATACCATGGTGCCCCATATGAGTGTCCTATATATATATATATATATATATATATATATATATATATATATATATATATATATATATATATATATATATATATATATAGACACACACATATATATATATAGTATACTATATAGTACTTACACTTAAATTATACACTACTTTTATATATATTTATATATATATATATATATATATATGTAATTTAAAAACTTACATATGTAATTTTAAAACTTATATTGTAAATACACTAAAGTTACATATGTAATTTAAGACAATACGACGTAAAATAGCCTTCACCCATTGTAACGTACGGGTATATTTTAGATTAAAAAAAAAGAGATTATAGTGACCATATGAACTCTGGGACCGTCAATCGGATAGGCTACTCAAGTACTGAACGACTCAAGCTCCGACTGGGTCGGATTCGGCTGCCCAGTGCCCACGCAGCAGAGAGCTTTCCCGACGGCGCTAACGCAGTGTTACATTAATGGGCTAAATTTTATTGACTCGCATGAAGTGCTATGAGTAATAATACCACCTTAAAAGTAAAGAGGTCTCAACTTAAATATGAAGCTAGTGGATAGACTTTGTTGACCGGTTGAGAAAATACGGTAACTGATTCTGTATCGGTAATATTAACGAGCACGTCGCTTACTGAATTAAGCACACGGTTGATGGTCCCGAATGTTACTCTTGCGCATCGCTTACTGAATTAAGCACGCGCGGTTGATGGTCCCAAACGGTAATAAACACAGTAATTGATTCTGTTTTAATGAGCATATTGGTTATTGGGAATTCTCTCTGCGGTTGATGGTCCCGAACAGTAATAAACATGGTAATTGATTCTGTTTTAATGATGGGAATTCTCTCTCGTTTTGTAACGGACGATAATATTAACGAGCACGCGGTTGATGGTCCTGAACGGTAATAAACACAGTAATCGAGCGCATCGGCTACCGAATTAAGCACGCGGTTAATGGTCCCGAACGTTACTCTTGCAGTTGATGGTTCCGAACGTTACTCTTGTGCACGCATATACTCCGCCAAAGGGAATGATCTCTCTCGTTTTATAACGGACGATAATATTCACGAGCGCGTTGGTTATTGAATTAAGCACGCGGTTGATGGTCTCGAACGGTAATAAACACGGTAATTGATTCTGTATTGGTCATATTAACGAGCGCATCGGTTACTGAATTAAACACTCGGTTGATGGTCCCGAACGTTAGTCTTGCGCACGCATATACATACTCCGCCAAAGGGAATGATTTCAATAGTGCATGGTTCTTTTGTTCTTCCTCTATTCCTCTTGCCGGTTTCTCTCTCTTTTCCTGCCCAGCATGATCCTTCCCCAGTCCTGTTCACCTGCGTGCACAGGTGCACGGGACGAGCAGGTGCCTCCAGAACTCCGTCCGCTTGCGTACTTGCACGGATAGGCGGACGATCAAGTTTTTGGGAGCGCTATGCGCAATTGCTCCTGTTCGTCTTCCTCTACATCGTCTTTGCCAACATGTCGAACACCGGAGACGACAGCAACATTGGAGACAATGAGAAGGAGGTTCCCGTCAACACCAACGGAGGCAATACTGCCTCAAACTCCAGTGGAGGGCCATCCTCAGTGTATAACCTACTCACGTTATTTCCTCAAGTTCTACTGTTAGTCGCAATGTTATTGCGTTTTTATGTCTATGTTGATGCTTATTTTATATTAAGCATGCTCATGATGATTCACTTTATCAATTGCACTAGTTCATACCCTATATGTGTCATGTTTATTGTCTTAATATTTTGAATTAAAATATATCGAATTATGACCATATTTCCAACACGCAGCCCATCTCCCGCAGCATCTCTGGCGACGCTGTGCTCACGTGTCGGCGGCAGCCGACACACAGCACCCAGTTTAGCTTGCAGGTGATGGCGGCGACGGGTGGGACTTGTAGGATTGCAAGTGGGATGGGTTGTGGGCCGTCCCGCCCCGCCCCACACCAGCCGCAAACTCCCTATGCGGGCAAACGGCAGCCCGCCCCGCACGGCTTGGCAGATTTTTCAGCCCGACGGGCACCACTGGACAGCCCACATTGGCATAATATTCATCAATCAGCAAACAAAACTGTACTATTTTCACGTGAAAATATTCACACAAGCACAGAACTACTCCCTGTCCCAAATTTAGCTAGGATTAATCCTAGCAAGAGAAGGAATAAAGCTATAAAATTGCAGATTAAACCTACCAAGAGAGGGAAGAAAATATAAAATTGCAACATCAAGAGGACAGTGAACAGGAAACAGATTCAGAGCTACTAGCTCAAGAAACATGTCAGAGAACTCACAAATTCAGCAGAGGTACTAGCTCAAGAACATGCAAGAGAACTCACAGATTCAGCAGAGCCACAAACACTAATAATGCTAAATGACCTGACAAGTGATTAACAACATCAAACTGGTACATAAGGATGTTAGTATTAACATGTGTTCAACACTTCATTTTTCAATGACATAACAAGTATAGTCCAAGCCAGTCCTGGCCTGCTAACCATTCTTAGCGACTTGATCCAAAACCAAATCTCACCCAAATGCTTATTATTTAATCTGAAGTTCTTATTCAATAATCCAAATGAGTAGAAATCACTTCTCATCAAACAAATCCCCTGCTGCTTGAAGAACAAACAAATCTTGAAGGAGGAAAAACAATTGACCGGCCGTCGTCGCTGCGGCACAAGGTGTGGCCGGCCAATTGGAACTGCAGCCCTCTTCCATGGCAGCTCGAAGTTACCTGCTCCCAGTCTCCCAGGCCGATGGAGCCAGTGATGGGTAGAGAGTTGGAGGCAGCAGCACGGGTAGCGTAGCAGGCTCGCCCCGAACACACGTGGGGGTTGGGGATGGCTGCTGCGGCGTCGTCTCGCCGAGGAAGATGGATGGGCGACGAGGAAGACGAGAGTAGCACCGCCGCGGCGTCGTCTCACCGCCGCCGTCTCCTGTCTCGGCTGCGGCGGTGTCTCGTGTCTCCCAGAGACCCAGTCTCGTGCCCTAATGTGGTGGCGCCCAACGGGCTATGCGGGATGGGCCAAACAATTTTGCAAGGTCCATACGGGA